TACGAAATCATGTAATCAAATGGAATTATCATTTAAAAATATGTGTTGACCTATTCGAAATATAGTTCCCTCCGATAAATTAGTTTAATGAAAAGTCGATTTTAAAAATAAATTAAAAATAATACTTCTGACTGAATGAACATTAAGAATCGAGTGTTATTTCTTTTGTAAACACACTTATGATTGGCAATTAATACTCCAAATGTTGTTTTTTGTATCAGATAGGGTAATTAAGCTAAAATTAACTCACTCATTGGGACAAGGGTGTATTAATAAATGGGAAGAGAGGCGTGATCAGTCTTAGTAGACTACTATAAGCTTCACTAAACTTAAGCACAAAGTACGTGAATGTGATCATTGATTAGCCTTGGACTCTGTGATGAAGAAACTATTGGACTCGTTCATGTTATAAAGTAGGCTGATATGATACGAAATATAAAACGGGGTTTTTAAATTCGTATCAAATACGATTGACTTGTTTTTTAATCAGTGTTTTTCATACAACCATACTTTTAGTAGTAAGGAATACGTTAAGTAATACGGTAAGAACTTGGAAAAGCTCCATATTTCCAAATATATTTTAACTACAGGATTAATCTGTATCGTAAATAAGAAAAAGGCAGTAGTGGTAGCCTATTTAATTTTTAAAAATTATTATATTTATTTAAAATAAAAAATTGTGTTGGAATAAAGATGTGATTTAGATCAACGTTGTAACATTCAAGGAAAGCATCAAATGTGGACCGTAATACATTGGATACAAAAGTTTAAAATTATTTAAATTGTTTGAAAGTTGGTGTTGTGTTGAAATCTGGTAAGGATTCAGGAAGATCATGGGGTTACCATTTTTTCTTTAGCTCTTGCAGTTTATTTAAAAACACTTCAGAAGTTATAAACAAATTTTAAAAAAAAAACATGCACAAGAAGATAGTGTTGTGGACTTAATTGGAAAACTTTTTAAAACTGTTTTTGTGAATGCCGCATGCACATTTAGAAACTGGTTGATCTTTTTGTTAAGACATTTTTAGATAAAGGCATATGAGACCTAAACAAAGGCTAATTAATAAAAGATGGCATAGATTCCTATATAGAAACAGGCCCATTCAAAATTAAATAGATTTCTGTATAGACACGGACTAATACAAGATAATACCTATTTCTGAATAGACGAAGACTAATACTTGATAACACAGATCTCTGTATAGACACAGGCTAATAAGATAACAGATATCTCTGTATAGACACAGACTAATACAAGATTAGACAGATTTCAGTATAGACACATGCTAATCTAGATAAATAAAAGACTTACCTGGGACGGTCGACCGCCGTGTGTTGTACCTTTGCGTAGATTAACGATCTGATTAAATCCAGTGGCTTTGATGACGTAGAGATCGTTGGCATTAATCTGACCCGCGGTGTACCAGTTCTCGTACAGAGGACGAGACGCCCAGTAACTGTACCACTGTGCTAGACTAACCTTTGGTGCGCGGGCTGTTTTAGGTAGCGCTTTGCCAGTTATGGAAGTTACTGTAGCCGATGTGTAATTTAACAATTTGACAAAATCCAAACCATGTTTTCTGGTGATCTCGTAAAATCTCGTGCTGTTCACCCGCGGTTTAAAATCCGGGTCGTTGACGGTTTGGTTAGCGTAGTAGAGTAACGCTAGAAACGTAGAGACGACGCCTTTCCGGCAGTGGATCAACGCCGGAAGTTCAAGCTGTCGGATAATTTCCGTCATCTTCCTCACAGCATCCACGCTGTTCCAGTCTCCATCTTGGTCTCCGTCCAACACCGTGAAAAATTTCATCCCGGCCAAATTTTCAACGATAAATTTTTCAGTGGCTGTAGATATTAGAACCTCTTTACCGTCCGGGCTAAGTTGTCCTTTATGGGTAAACACAGACACCACTGTTTTAAACCCGCTGTCGGCGGCGTATTTAATCTGTCGCGGGGTCGGCTGACCGGAAATATACACGCCATCATCCAACCTCCTGGCGTACCACATCTTCTGCGGGGATATCAGCGACCCCTCGGGTACCTGGTGGTTGGGGTACATGGGTACGATGAGGGCGTCTTCACACGAGTCGGGCTCCCCGATGGTGAGGTTGGAGCAGAAGGTGGTCGTGTCCAGGTTGCTGTAGGCCATGGAGATGCTGATGTCTCCTCTACGGGTGGTCTTTGACGAGACATGTCCGGTCCAACTTAGCAGAGTCAGGAGAAGTAAGGAGGGAGGCGTTCTGTTAAACGGTGTCCAGGCCATAGCACGGAATGCAACTGTGGACACAAAACCGTTTATACAGGAATATATATATATATATATATATATATATATATATATATATATATATATATATATATATATATATATATATATACATACATATATACATACATATATATATATATATACATATATATAGGCCTACATATATATATATATATATATATATATATATATATATATATATATATATATATATATATATATATATATATATATCATATTATGTTAAGCATCCGTTTAAAAAAAAATAACCAAGACGGCATTGTTTTCCATCAGGGTTATCTAGTGTTTACTCAAATGAATAAACACTGTGGACTTGAGTTATCTTCTCCTAGCCATGAAAGCTACTCGCCGTAAATCAAGCATCTGGTAATTGTCTTAAAAATTACATCCTTGTGATAAACATTGTACAGTTCCTGTATAATTTTAAACGTAATTTGCGTTATGTTTTTTTTTAAAAAATAGCCACAAGGCATCAGCCACTGATGACGTGTAGGCTACAGTTGACCTTGACCTTTAGTGTCAAGATGTTTCTACATTCTGCTGACCTCTTGGAGAAATGTAACCGCAGTCTAAAAAAAAATTCTCTCCGTCTAGCTTGTGCGCAGTTGTGATGTTGTGGCCTGTTATTATTATTTCGTAAAGGTCTGGTATGGTTGAGTTAGAGGCTTGGGACGTAAAGGTATGGTAGGGTTAAGGGATGGAGATGTATAGGTATGGTAGGGTTAGGGAATGGGGACGTAAAGGTATGGTAGGGTTAGGGAATCGAGACGTAAAGGTATGGTAGGGTTAGAGAAGGGGACGTAAAGTTATGGTAGGGTTAGGGGATGGGGACGTAAAGGTATGGTAGGGTTAAGGGGTGGGGAATGTAAAGGTATGGTAGGGTTAGGGAATGGGGACGTAAAGGTATGATAGGGTTAGGGGATGGGGACGTAAAGGTATGGTAGGGTTAGGGAATGGGGACGTAAAGGTATGATAGGGTTAGGGGATGGGGACGTAAAGGTATGGTAGGGTTAGGGGGTGGGGACGTAAAGGTATGGTAGGGTTAGGGGGTGGGGACGTAAAGGTATGGTAGGGTTAGGGGGTGGGGACGTAAAGGTATGGTAGGGTTAGGGGGTGGGGACGTAAAGGTATGGTAGGGTTAGGGGGTGGGGACGTAAAGGTATGGTAGGGTTAGGGAATGGGGACGTAAAGGTATGGTAGGGTTAGGGAATGGGGACGTAAAGGTATGATAGGGTTAGGGTGGGGACGTAAAGGTATGGTAGTGTTAGGGAATGGGAATATAAAGGTATGGTAGGGTTATGGAAAGGGGACGTAAATGTATGGTGGGGTAATGGAAAAGGGACGTAAAGGTATGGTGGGGTAATGGAAAGGGGACGTAAAGGTATGGTAGGGTTGGGGAATGGGGACGTAAAGGTATGGTAGGGGATTGGGACGTACAGGTGTAGTATGGTTGTGAAGGGGTATGGAAGGGTGGGAGTTCTGCACCGTAAAAATAGTTTATGCACTTTAAATAAGTTAAATCCTTAACATAAAATTAATATCTTTAATAATATAGAATTCAATGAATGACGAACGATAGTTTTATATGGCATTCTGAAATTACATAAGACATTTTTCAAAATGATATAGGACGCATATTTTAGAATTGAAATATATATATATATAAGTTAATGGTAGGTACAACTACTATATATATATTATATATATTATATATATATATATATATATATATATATATATATATATATATATATATATATATATATATATATATATATGGTGTTTACTAATGTATAAATGTGAGTACTAATTGATTAACAGGGTGTAATCATGCGTAAAAATCTGTTGCATTCAGTTCCGGCGCCAGGTTATTTAGCGCTCTAGCAAAAACTTATTAAAATGCCACCTCCCCCTCTTGCAATTGTGTGTGTGTGTGTGTGTGTATGTGTGTATTAGAATATTACTTTAAAAACTTTAAAATTCTGTTTAGGATTTTGTGGTGCCAACAATTAATTTGGTTTGAAAATCTAAATCTCTCCCTGACTAACGAGATTTTAAAATTTAAAAATCGAAAGTGCACAGGCGTCGTCCCAAAGGGGGGCGCCAAACGCGGTAGCTAGTATTATAAAAAGCGCGTTACTGAATTATATACATTCGAAATAAAAAATGTTGACTGCTACTTGTCATACGGACAAATTTAATTGTTTTCTACATCAATTGTGTGACAATATGTGACACCAAAATAAAAAGTCAAAGTGACTTGTAAAAAGCGCCCCGATCTCTCTCTAAGAAGATGGGGCGCAAAAATTGAAAGTTCGCCCTGGTTACTGAAATAGATTGCCACGCCTTTGTATATTATCCCGTCTAAAGTTGATAAAATGTGATCAAATTTATTAATTATTATGTACTTTTTACTAATGGAAAATACATATTTTTGCGCCCCCTTATGGATTGCACACTACGCGACCGCCTAGTTCGCCTTATAGGTAGCGCCGGCCCTGGTCACATTAGTAGTAATGTATAAATGGTGTGTAGGGCCTACTGATGTTCAAATACTGTGTACGCTAATGTATGTAATGAGTAGGTACTGAGGTGGAAACGATGTTAACTGAAGTTGTAAGATAAGCGCCAAGTGGTGGGCTATAGGCACGTAGCGTCTAAAAGTTTGATAGCTGTTGGTTGAGTTGGTGTTGGAGTGTTGTGCTACCTATGTACTGTTGGTCTAGGAGTCCTAGCTATGTCCTGATGGTGTATGAGTTTTGTCCTACATATCCTGATGGTGTAGGAGTGTTGTCCTACATGTCCTGATAGTCTAGGTATTTAGTCCAACCTATATCATTATGGTATTAGTGTTATCTTGTCCTGATGGTATCAGTGTTGTCCTACCTTTGTCCTGTTTGTGTACATGGTGTGTTGTCATACCTATGCCCCGTGGTGTAGACGTGCTGGGATTATCATATTTTCAAAGTCCAATCATTTTTAAATTACAGACAAGAATCGTGGACCATTAAAGATGTGGAGAATGAAGGGAAGGGGGGGGGATCCTAAAAATTTAATGTAATATGACGGTGGTTGGATAGTCTGTGTAAATATTATGTAATGCGATATATATAGTTTCAGTTTAGGTTAAAAACTTCATATTCGTGCAGAATTCCTATGTACGTAAAGTTACAGCATAAAGGATGTTATAGTTTTGACATGCGCAATGTGTGCAACAGCTGCCCATTCAGACGTGCAATTGTTTAACAGGTGCACAAATGTCAGGTGTTACGTGGCCACTGATCAATACAAATGTGCAGTTATGCGATTGAGATAGCGATTGATGTTTGTCCCTGTTCAACCCGTCGGCAATTTCTTGTTATAATTTAAAAATAATTAAAGTTTGAACCATGGGGCAGATGTGGCTCAATAGCTGATGACAGCTACCCACTTAGGAGACAAAACTCCAAAATGAAACAATTGTATGGACAAAAACTATGAAAGTAAATCCAGACAGAAAAACATGGCGTTTAATATGTAGACACGTAATACTAAATCCCGTCCAACATTACAATTGAGAACAAAGAAGAAGAAGAAGAATTGATGAGCCCAAAACAATTTTAGACAAAATTCCTTTATTTTTTTAATAATTTTAGGAGGGGGGAGAAAATCCTTCGTAAAAAGTATGAGTCGACACAGGCTCAAAAATGAATCAACCAAAAGATAAAAGACTTACACAAAGGCTCAACACTAGTAGGATATATTTGAAAAGTAAAAATGTGATGGTTAGGATATATGAAAAGGTTAATAAATCACAGACAGGTGGATATAGTGTATAACCAAAAATCCAGGAATATACTATCCACGGGGTTAATCAGTAGCGTAGCGAGGGGGGGGGGGGGCGAGGGGGGGGGGGGGGGACATATGTCCCCGGGCGCCGACCTTAGGGGGCGCCAAAATGGGTTGGAAAAATAAATTGATAGGTTCAGGGGGTGCAAATCGAAAGTTTGAGGGGGGGGGGTGCAAATCGAAATCTTGAGGGGAGGGGTGCAAATCAAAAGTTTGTCCCCGGGCGCCGGGAAGGGTCGCTACGCCTCTGGGGTTAATAATGGGGTATATGTCCAGTGGGTTATTGACCAAACACCAAGGGAGGCGACCAAATGATGTGGTTTTAGTCCAGACATGGAAGAAGTCCAGACAATCTGAGTGGAAGATGGTGGTGGAGTAGATTAAACCTAACCCCCCCCCATGTGCTGTACATCCCTAGGGATGGATGGAAGGTGTATATTAGGATACCTTAAGAATGATTGTTACCTACAGCCATCAAACAGTTAATGAACTTTGCTTCAATATTGTTTCAACAGACTTAATAGAAAATAAACTCGCCATTATCAACAGCATCTTAAGGGGAAAATATCAAAAATTATACGGCAATGCTAACAGTTACACGGTATTACTATCAACGTATCATTTGTGTAAACAAATGAAATAAAACACAATCAAGGTACTTTTTACAAAGGGAAATCTTAAAAACAGCATCGTTGTTAGTTTCTTAAAATACAGCTAGTTTTTGTAGCCCTAAAATTAACTTAAGTATGTTGCCCTCTATGTATATATTTAAATCAAATAAATACCATATCATTATAGATAAAATATCGGTCTTAAAGCGATGCTTACCTAGAATAGCTGAAAGTAATACATACAGTTTACCTTCACAAGATTAACTTTAAGAGAAAAACACTAAAGCCAGCAAGCCTAAACTATAATGGTTAATTTAATAGTATACTATTGATCCGACCCACGTCAGACTATATGATTGATTTATATCGTCAATTAAAAACAAATTCCTTAGCTATTGTTGAACTACACATCTTCTGAACTGAATCGACTGATACTGATACACTCTTTAAAGCTGATTTTATTTTTGTTCAAAGCTTTCGTTGATTTAACGTCTAGACTGTAAACAAATACAGATTTAGCTGACAGGAGGAATTTAAAACCTAACTTTTATATTTTAATCTAACTTTAAATGGTTTTAAATGAAGAACTAACATTTTGACAGTTATTGTAATAAAAATCTACAAGACGTTGTTACTAAAAATAAACCTGAGTATTTTGACACGTTGAAAGATAAATATAACTTAAAGACAGAAACAAATATAGAGCCAGCAGACGATAGAGCTAACTGCTGAGGCAGGAGGCGAACATGCAAGTAAGTACTCACGGAGCAAGACAAGCCCTGCTACACACGTGCCGAGGAGCGTGTGCGTTTTACGTGTGCGTGTGAACTTCCCGGACAGCTGTGACCCAGGCAAACATACCCCATCAAAAGCAAGGAGATGAATGGTGAAGATATCACAACACAATAGCGCCGTCACGTGATACGACTCTGTTGTTTAATAGACCTGGATGTGTACGGCGTACTTATCACGGCATTAAAGAAAAAGGAACGCCAACCTATGTCTGTTTCAAATATTCCATGAAATGTCCTTGTGAATAAAAAAATATAAAAAAATAAACAGAAGTTATCTCCCTTTCCCAAAGTTGCCTCCCCTATCAAAGTATACGATACCGCAAGATTTCTTTTTTATCGTTTCACGCTTAGTCGTTTTTCCCCCTCTTCCATGAAGAAGGCATGTAATTTATTCCTTTAAGTGAGGAAAAAATTGTTTTGTCTCGAACTAAAAGCTCGTCTTAGAGCGTACCTTACAGTCGCCTCCCCTACCAAGCTGAAGTTATTTGTTTCTTACCCACTTTATACATAGGCGGAGACTTAACTTAATGAGTTGTTTTCAGTTAAATGATAGTTATTTTCATGGAATACAGGTGTAAACACGTTTCAAAAAGAAAATTTGATATTAAATAATCTTTGAAAAGAAAAAAAAATTACGGTCAGGAATGTTAATGTATGAGCTCTGGTTTATATTTTGAAACTCGAGTTGTGTAGTGTTTTTGTTATCTCTTTTTTTCTTTTCTTCAACCTTCAGTGTTCACACGCTTGGAAAATTGTCAGTTTTTAATCTCACTCTGTCTCTCTTGTTGCTAGATGAAATTTGCTAAGAGGAATCTCTCTTAAATTAGAATTTGGTTTCAAAAGTGCACACCAACAAAAAAAAAAACCCACTCATAGATACACCTGGGTTGTATCAGGCTGTATGAATAGCACGAAGTTCGATCACTGTTCTTAGCGAAATACTGCTGGCAGATTTTACATACACATTCAACCAATTTATTTAATACAGAGCAGGCTACACTGATTGATTGGGGGGGGGGGGGGGGGGGCTATACGCTGCACACTTTAATTAATTGAAATAAAAATATAAGGAGAATCATAGAATAAAAAAAGCACAAGAAAACAACACGGAGTGTTCAACTTCGGTCTAAATTATCAAATGATGGTTTCATGTCTAAAGCTTAATACAGAAATATTTCGTTCTGGCTGTCGCAAGCGTCCCATTAACAATGTCCTATAAATGAGACCTTAGGACGTTCCATTAATACTGTCGTATAAATACAACCTACCAACTTCCCATGAACACTGGGACCTTCCACCTTATCCATGTTGTAGTGCAACACATCAGCCGTCACCTACCACCGTTCTATCCACATGTGGATAACAATATGTTATTTGGGGTTGAAGGCACTTCGGTAAGAAGAAAACCTACAGTCGAGTACCCAATCAGGTGAAGTAGAGTCCCACTGTTTCAGTTACCTCGACATTCCACCCGTAAACCATGAATGATTATTTCCTACAATAATTAATTCATTTTTGTAAACCTTTTCTAAACAAAAGCGCACTCAATATATTAGACCTACATTGGTATATCCAAATGAAAAACCAAACATCAATGAAAATAGTTTACATGAGAACATGAATTATTTACTCACATTCGCAAAAGTACTCACAATAAATAATAAAACACATATCTGGTAAATGCACATTGTATTCATGTAAAATTTGTACTTCCAATGTTACAATCCATCCACCAAAGTGATCCTTGTAAAATGAAAGGTTGTCAGTTTTTTTATGGTGAGTAGGACTACACCAAGGTTAGCTTGTATCTGTCTAGATCAATACATCACAACCACAACATGACTTTTATTTCTTTTGGTAAATATCTTTCACAGTACATATATGATAAATCTATACTTCAACACATTTCATAGCTGAAACTTTTACAAGAAACTTTAAGTTTAAACATGTTTCATAGCAGGAACAAGTACAAAAACTTGCATTTTAACATATTTCATAATAGGAACTTGTACAATAAACTTTCATTTTAACAATTTTCATAATAGGAACTTGTACAATAAACTTTCATTTTAAACAAATTTGTGTAGTAGAAATCTGCATTTTATACAAACAGTTGTACATAATGTTACTTTCAGTTTTAATTTATTTGTCTAAAATGCAAAGAACACAAATGTATAGCTATCAATGACTAAAGACAGCTAGTTATAGGTTATACATGTATGGAGAGTCAGGTTAAGAAGTAATCCCCTTAAACTACCTGCTTCGACCTGTGAATAGGTTGAAGCAAAATGTTTGCAACAAACATGTATGTGAACACACCATCCATAATATTTTTTTTACAATTTTTTTTTTAAATCATTCAGAAAACACCATCAAACAAAAATTAAAGCCATTGAACACTTCCAATTAAGATTTGGAATAATTGCATAGAAAGTAAATATCATTATTTTTTTTTAAATATAGCAACAGGATTGCCAATCCTGTTAACAGTTGTTTAATAAAGGGATTAAAGAATTATTGAAGGCGGATAAATCAAAACCAACAAAGCAATCCTCCAAAAATAGCTTGGAATGTTCCAATCTAAAAAAACGTTATATTTTTTAATCACTTTTTTTTATCACTGGAGAGAAATAAAGATGCAACAAGCAGTAGTTCTATACAAAACTTTAAATAGACAAAAAATTAGCAACACGATTTATGGCACTGTATAGCGTATAAGAAAAATAACAGACAATTTGCAAAATAAAATATAATTTCTGAATTAGAAAATAGGTAAAATAAGTTTTTTTCTCTGTGCAGGCATGTGATTTACAAAAAAATTGCTGAAACTTGTAAAACAGTTCTTGATTAATATTTCTTTCATGCATGAGCTATGAAAAAAATATAGTTATAAACACTGAAAATACCTAAATTGTTTTCTAATTTTTACTCCATTTAATGGTGGTTAAAAGGGACTCAGTTTTAATTCCCAAATTTATAAGCGACTATAGTTGTATAGAGGCAAATTAGCTTATACATTAAACAACTTAAATGTATTTAAATCTTGGTGAAAATCACAATACAAAAATGTTCTCCATTTTCTGAACAGCGTTCTTGGGTAAAAAGAAGAATTTTAAAAAGAGAAACAATATTTATAAAGGTAAACTATTGTGCTTTAAAAAGAAGAATTTTAAAAAGAGAAACAATATTTATAAAGGTAAACTATTGTGCTTTAAAAAGAAGAATTTTAAAAAGAGAAACAATATTAATAACGACAAACTATTGTGCTTCAACATTGCATATTTTATATTCAATACTTCGCTGTATATTCAAAATAGAATAAATCCCAGTACTGAGGTATTGCACAGTTCAGTAAAGTGAAATTAATTCAGTGTTAATATTTGGTCTACAATTCGATTACTATTGTAATGTAATTAGATTTAAGGTAGACTAGTTGTACCATATACACATAAAAGCAGGTCTAAAAATAAAATACCTACTAATCTGCTTAATAAAATATAACATACAGTTAAAACATTTAGATAAGTTAGGTAGGTAAAAAAAAACATGAAAATGATACCAGTAAAGTTTCTAAACATTTTCTGTTTGAAATTACTATTAACATGAATCATCCAGAACCATCATTGTGAATAAAACTTGTTTCCACTGCAGCCTTGATCTCAAGATTGCTCTATCTGTAGGAGACAAAAGAGAAAACTAAAGAAATAAATCTTACTTTTAAAACAATTTCTGAATGTATTATAGGAAAAAGAAAATGCAGGAAAATATCTTACCAAACACAGTACAAATCTCTAGGTTCTGTTAGTTGTATTCTAAAGTCACAGCCTTTGTTTTTAAGTATTCATTGAGAGCATCTTCACCTATTTGAAATGGATAAATGTTTTAAGAAATAATAAAGAGTAATGCAGTTGGTCATTATGATAAAGTATGAAAGTAGGCCCAATAATAAAGAAGGACTAAAGGATACAAGTTAATCATATTGGCCAACAAATTTTGGTCAGAACAAAATTACATTAGTTTTTAAATTAAAACTCATAAATTGAGGCAATACAAATAGTCTGTGACAATTAAAACAATTTTAAAATAAATAAAATAATTGCAAGCTATAGCAGAGGCATAGCGAGGGGGGGGGGGGGGGGGGGGGGGGGGGCTGCACCGGGTGACACCGAGGCAAAAATAGTAAATATATAGAGAAAATTTGAGGGGGGGGGGGGGTACAAATCAAAAGTTGAGAGGGGGGAATGGTGCAAATCAAAAATTGAAAGTTTGTCCCTGGGAAGAGTCGCTACGCCTCTGAGGGGGTGACAGCATTAAGTGCCGCACCGGGTGACACCCGACCTCGCTACGCCACTGAGCTATAGTAATATTCTATTACAACACTACTTGTTAGTAATGCATTAAAAATTAAAATAAAATATTTAAAGGCTACAGTAATAATAATAATATTCTATTACAACACTACTTGTTGGTAATATTTTTAAAAAATTCCCTGAGTTCCCGTCGACTCTCACCTAGATCTTTGCCAAAGCCAGACTGCTTGAACCCACCAAACGGCGCTGCAACATCGGTCTTGTTGTAGGTGTTGATGAACACCGTCCCCGCCTCAATGCTGTCTGCGACTCTCATGGCCTTGTCTATGTCGCGCGTGAACACACCAGATGCCAGACCAAACTCTGTGTTGTTGGCGCTACGCAGCACTCCCTCAATGTCGCTGTATCATACACATACAATAAATGTTATTTAAATATAATACAGATCAATTATTTTTATTTGTTAAATTAGGTAATTAAATATTTTACCATAGAAATAAAACAAATATAGGATTATATTATGAATTTTGAATATTTCATCTAAAACTCTATTCTCATTTAGGATTTTTAAATTAACTCAAGGTGTTAAACTAAATTATTATAATTTTGATAAACTCCCTCAATGTCGCTATATCATACACATACAATAAATGCTTTAAAATAAAATACAGATAATTTTTTTTATATATTTTTAAATTTTTAAATTAAATATTTTACCATAGAAATAAAATGAGTATAGGTTTATATTATAGATTTTAAATATTTCATCTAAAACTCTATTCTCATTTAGGATTTTTAAATGAATTCAGGGTGTTAAACTAAATTATTATAATTTTGATAAACTCCCTCAATGTCACTATACCATAAGCATACAATAAATGTTTTTAAAAAAAAACACAGATATTATTTTTTTTAATTTGGTAATTAAATATTTTACAATAGAAATAAAAGAAAAATAGGCTTATATTTTACATTATCACTTAGGGTTTTAAAAATTAATTAAGGGTAATGAACTAAACTATTATAATGAAATTGTAATAAGTTATTGTAATTTGTATTAATAAAAAAAAAACAATAGATTTTATAAATCTCTGATTGTGTTATTATGTGTGTAGCAATTAGACCTACCCATCAATGAATTTGCTAATAATCATGACTGGCCCAAAAGATTCTTCTTTAGCAATCATCATGTGATCTTCCACATCAGTAAATATTGTGGGCTCAAAGAACAGACCTAGGTGAGAAGCATGTTACGAATATAATACAGAATACTTCTTCTTCTTCTTCTTCGTTCTTAATTTTTAGTGTTGGAAGGGATTGAGCCTTATCTGCCAGAGGGTTTTGAACTCGAGACTTTTTTCGAATTTATCAACCATGTGCTTTTTGCACGCCAAGCCTCCATCACAATTAAGGATTCGTGTCAACTGGTTATGCGCCATTGAGGCCATTGACTCTGATTTCAGCCTGCTTTTCTTTTTGGATTTGCTTCCATAGCCTTTGTCCAACCAAGAACAAACTACAAGGCAGCAGTTGTTTGAATTTGGAGTTGTCTCTCATAGAAGAGTGGCTGTCCCCAGCTAACGAGCCTCATCTGCCCGAGGGTTCGAACTCGAGACTTTTCGGTTTAGCGACCATGAGCTTTACCGACTTGACCACGCCGACCCTGAATACTGTTTGTGAACATCCTGGGGCCAAGAACAGCGAGCCTTTTAGCTATTGCAGTAGTATTGGTAAGAAACAGGACAAAAGTAACATGATTTATTCTTACAGTAAAATACACCATCATTTTATAGTTGAAACATGATCACCGTAAACAAAGATAAAATATTGACATTCTTAGTGAGAGCTTCATGTCATCATGTTTGCCTGTCGTCCCTACTGGGACATAGGCTGCTGACAAGAGCTTTCCAGGCGTCTCTGTCTAGGGCTAGTCAGTGAGAGCTTAACATAGAATAAAAAATTGAACCTCCTCTTTGAGACCTAACAATTCGTAGGGCAGGTTAAACAATTGAGTTCATACATTATTTGACTTAGTTAGGTGAAGGGATGGTGTGTTCAGCACAATGCCTAGCATCCTTTACTTTCCCAAACGAGAGTCAGAGACCCGCCAGAGCTGGGTGGACTCTGGGATTTCCTGCAATCTTGAGTCCAGACTAGAATCTGAACTCAAGACCTTTAGGCTAGCAGTCGAGCGCTCTATCAACCGACCACGACATTCCATATAAATTTGTATGTGTAGATATTCCTGTTAGTATATATCAATCTGTTTTTAAACTCAATGTCTAACAATCAAAATCTCTGTTTTTTGTTTCGTCTAATTTTTTCCAATGGAATCTTAAGAACTACCTCAAATAAACTTTATGTATATAAACAGAAAACACAAGTACAAAAGCAAAAAAAAAAAATTTCTGACCTGGTCTGTTACACTGGTGTCCACCTCTGACCAGTTTCGCCCCTTCACTGACGCCAGTTGCACAATACTCCACCAGCTTCTCCAGATGGGCTCTGTGATTCTGTGGACCATGGTCAGTGGATCGATCCAATGGGTTGCCGATTTTCATTTTTTCTACTTCAACTACCTGTAACCAATAAAATTATCAGGAGAGTTAATTATTTTTTTATAATATTAATAGAAGTAAAAAGAAGAGAGATTTTTAAAAATTGTATTTATGGTTCTAAGTTTATAATCTATTATCTCCCTTTCCGTTTTCTCAACATCACTTTGGGGCTTTGAGCCGTATATTTGTTTATCATTAATGTCTTGCAATCATAGCATGTGCATTGTATATTGTTATACTAATGGAGATAGGCGGAACTGATATTTTCATGTTTTTAATTGTTAGGCAAACTAAAAGTTTTTTATTCCTGCTAGGCAAAGACAAAAATGCAAGTCCTATAACACAAGCTAGAAAAAAAACCTCTCATACTTAGAATTTTTCTTCTAATAAAGATGATCAAATGCACAACTTAAGAGAAGACATTTAGAAAAGGATAACTTGAAACAGTGCAGCTAAGAAATGAGCAATATAGGATACAGATAAATTATTTGTCAAAAGAAACTTTGAAATTTTTTTTTAAACTGAGCTTCTACATTAAAAATCAGTGAAGTTGTAACTAACAAAATTAAACATTTTAATTAAGAAGAAATATCGTCAAACCATAAAATATTTTAGATTATACTAAAAATAGAAATTACATTGTATATCATACTGAAATTAAGTCTTTACAATGTCTTACAGTAAGATGGGAACTTTAATTACAGAGTTGGTCAAAATAAAAAAATAAAAATGTTCTGGCACTTCACATACCACTCTCCTGACAAACTCATCATGGATTGACTCCTCCACAAAAAGCCGCCCCGCAGCAATGCAGTTCTCTCCCTTGTTGAAGAAAACAGCTCCGCAGCCCAGTCGAACAGCTTTGTCCAAATCACAGTCACTAAAGATGATCAGCGGTGACTTGCCACCCAGCTCCAGGGAAACTTTCTTCAAGTTTGCTTTAGCACAGCTATATACGAATTTAAAACAAAAAACATCAAGACAATGTTAATGATTTAGATAAAAGTTCATATGGAAATATAAAAATTAATAACTATTGACGTCCTTGGTGCAAGAAAGTCATTAAAAAGTGGAGATAGGTAAGAAAACATTGAGGAAACTGGCTACAAGTATTGCCAGATAAGGCATATCATAGAATCAACAAGGATAAAAAAAAAAAGGAAGACCCAAAAACAACTGGTATAGAGAAAATGAAAGACATGAAAATTATTGGAAAGAGGTGGAAAAAATAGCAAATGACTTAAAAGCATCGAATGATGTTCTAAATCAAAATGGCCACTGGGAGAATAAGCCATTTGAAAAAAAATGAAGAAGAACTATTGACATATGAACGTAGGTCACCTTTCCATGATAGTTTTGCCAACTGGTGTAGAGCCAGTGAACCCAAGTTTCCTGATGTCAGGGTGTTCAGACATTGCTTGACCCACCAGGGCTCCTGTAGATTGAGAATCTCTAAATTATTATTATGAATAATTATCATTAGGTTCAAGTTTAGACTAGGTTTGTCATCCCACTAAAATTATGGTGGCTCACAAGAACTTTCTAGGAAATTTAAACACTGGTTGAATAAACTACGGTTGACAGTAACTAATGTTTACAAAACTCAAGTAACATTACTGGAGAAAATCTGTGCTATACTGTGAGATTACCTGTCCCAGTATTTATAAAATATATTATAGTTTTATAAGGAGAAAGTAGACCTATCAATATTTACTGCACAAAATTTGCATCATGATTTTGTATTTTGGGATTTTTTATACATATAAAACTTCTTAACAACCTCGGGCTATTAAAAACTTTTGACTCAAAATTCACCACACAGTTCACTTTAAAATTTAATGTGATGGGCATAAGCAAGCCTTCTGTTATGTGTTAATGATATGTTAGTTGTACCCATAAGAACCATGGTACAGAACATATAAAGTAAGCTAAACCCTTGTAAAACACTTGTCTTGTAAAAAAAACCTACTTAAACCCTTGTAAGACACTTGTAAGAAAACCCTACCTGAACCATTGTAAGACACTTGTAAGAAAACCCTACCTGAACCCTTTAAGACACTTGTAAGAAAACCCTACCTGAACCAGGCAAAATGTTGATAACACCAGCTGGAAAACCAGCCAAGACAGATAACTCTGCAAATTTTAGTGCTGTCAGGGGAGTTACCTGTTAGACAAAAAAAAATTTAAATTTTATTTGGAAACAAAATGTATTTTCTGGAGATGCAATTAAATTTTATTAAAACATTCCTTGCAATAAAAGTATGTGTACAAAATTAGATCTAATTAGACAAAATTAAAAACTTATGAGTTAAATTTTATTGTTTAAGAGATTAAAACATACCATGGCAGGCTTTAAGACAACTGTGTTTCCTGCAGCCAAGCATGCAGCTATCTTCCAGGCCAGCATCATGAGTGGATAGTTCCAGGGTACAACAATGGCGCAAACACTGAAATATTTGTTTTTAAAATAAATAGAGGATAATTTAACATCACAAACATAGTGAGTGGATAGTTCCAAGGTACAATAATGGCACAAACACTGAAACATTTTTTAAAAAAATAATTAGAGGATAATTTAACGTCACAAATATAGCGACTGAATAATTCCATGGTAGGATAATGGCACAAACACTGAAACTTTTTAAATATTTAGAGGAAAAATTTTATGTTCTATGGTACAAACATTTGTTTTAATTATTAAAGGACAATTCAATTTAGCAATTAATTAGAGATTTCTGTTACAATTTAAAGTTTTAAAAGACTATAAACAAAGTATAATACCCTATAGGTTCCCGCTTTGTAAATGTTAAATTCTTGCTTGGTCGAGCATTATTAATTGGAATAGTCTTGCCCTTCAAAAGAAAACACAATCAAATAAATATGTATAATTTTAAGATAAAAACAATAAATAAAAATAACCTGTAACCTAAATATTAATACTTAAATAAAATTATACAAAGCCACTTACCTGTATCTTATCACACCATCCTGCGAAATACCTGAATGTCTGTATGGACATTCCAACGTGTGTTTTGAGTGCAAGGGTGTACACAGCACCAGAATCCAGACTCTCTATAGTGGCAAGTTCTTCTTGGTGCTGCTCCATCAGATCTGCAAGCCTAAATAAACATAATGGAAGATAGACTACTGAGGCTTCAGTGCTGTGAATGAGGCATTGCCAGATGTAATTCAGGTAACATTGTCTAGCTTATGTAATTATAGTAGCCAACCCATTTAAAAAATAACTTTCTATATTAACTCTTAAGGTATGGTTAATTAAATAGGTACTAGTTAAATTAAGCTTTATTTTGAAAACGAATACACTTATCAAAATATGAATTTATTTAAGGATATTATATTTTTTGTATCAATTATTAAAAAGGTGGAAAGAAATAATAAGAAACAAATGTTTACTTCATCAGCAATTGACCTCTGTCCCTAGCATTCATCTTTCCCCACTCTCCTTCTTCAAAGGCTTCCTACCAATGCATAATAATGTTAAAGTAACACCCATATTTTAGTAAAAAAAAAAAAACGAAACATAAGAACTATTCAAACTTTTTGAAATTTTGAACTCCTTTGAAATAAAAAAAAAATAACTTAATTTTAACAGCCTAAAAATTCTAATTTAATTAGAAAAAGTTTTAAAATTATCTACCTTAGCTGCTTCAACAGCCCTGTTCACATCCTGTTTGGTAGCTTTGCTGATTTGACAGATAACCTAAAATAGAAAATATATAAATTTTCACTCTAATATTAATAGCACTCGTTTCCATTTACAAATTAAATCACAAACATTCACTACATAGAACAAAATAATATAAAATAATAATTTTTAACAAAATTTCATTTGCTTGTCCAACACATATTGTTAAATGATGTCTTACTGATTCATCAGCAGGGTTGATGGTGTTATAAGTAGCTCCATCTGAGGCATCAATAAATTCATTATCAATGAACAACTGGTGTGGGAACCTCAGGTTCATCTTATTTGCTTTGATCTCAACCTAATGTAAGATGTATTCCAAAATTTTGTTCATGAATTTTTATTTAGGCTTACAATATTATCACAACAATATCCATTAAGTTATTTTAGCTTATGTATATCAGCCTGTTACCTAAAAATATGGCCTTAGAAATCCTATTTTAAAAATTAATTTCTGATTATGGTTAGGACTAGTCTTAAAAATGTGAGTTTAGATAATACAAATAAAAGCATATAATCGTTTTTAAATGAACTTTAGTTTTTAAATTCTGTTTACAAGTAAGAAGTTCTAAAAAATTAAAATGTAGTATAAACTAGTATACAAATGATATTAGTATAACAATATATGTTTTGAAGCTGATATGAAACCTTACAGCATCGTATGTGAAAGGCTCTTTATCCTCTATACCTCGACCTCTTCTGATGATGCACATGAGAAGGTCTTCAAAGACTGTGTTCATGTATACATCCTCAGCAGCCATCTTGATGTCAAAGTTCTCTTTAATTTCTTCAACCAGCCTATTAGAATTGAATCAGGATAAGGAATTTAACTATTTAGAGCATTAAAAGAGTCTTAACTATTTCTAATTAATTCTTTATTTTAATATTTATCTAATTCAAAAACAGTCTTACGTAATATCAATATTTATATAATAGGGCAGTCTTTCTCAAAGAAACAGTCTGACTTAAGAAACAGTTTGCATATGAAACAGTCTTTTATAAGAAATAGTCTTACAAAAGAAACAGTCTTTTATAAGAAATAGTCTTATAAAAGAAACAGTCTTACATAAGAAACAGTTTTATATAAACACAGTGTTACATGAGAAACAGTCTTACATAAGAAACCATTTTATATAAACAGTCATACATGAGAAACAGTCTTACATAAAAATCAGTCTGAATAAGAAATAGTCTTACATAAGAAAAAGTCTGACGTAAGAAACAGTTTTACCTAACAACATCCATGGACCCTGCCCCAGCTTTGAAAAAATCCAAAGAGTTTTCAATGTCTGTGTTCAAAATGCCTCTCCATATGTTCTAAAAGTGTTCAAGATCAGATAATCTTACAGTGACAAAAAGTTATGCACATTGTTAAATAGTGGCCAATCTGGAAACAGTTCAAGAAAATGTAGGTAATTGATTCTGTTATGTTTGGATTTAAAATAAGTAGTTTCAAAATTTTATTTAGAAAAGAAAAAAAAAGAAAAAGCTTATAGCATAAATCTTCTTTTCTTACTCTTCTTTGTTCTTATTTGTAATATTTTAGAGAGTTCCCTCCAACACAATAGATTACATGTCAACTTGTTATGAGCTATATGACCCATTGACTCTGATTTCAGCCAGCTTTTCTTACTGGATTGATTTCCATAGCCTTAGTACACCCAAGAACAATCTGCAAGGCAGCAGTTGTATGATTTTGGAGTTGACTCTCCTAGTTGGGTTGTTGTCCCCATCTATTGTGCCCCATCTTCCCAGGTAGCATAAAAAACTTCTAGTCGTTTAGGGTGAGTTCTTCATAAATTATGGAGTATATGTTGAAATTATATACTTCTTAAAACAGAATTTAATTCTATTACCACTTTAAGGATGTAAAGATTTAAACACCAGCACTACCTTCAAGCCATTCCCCATTTCAATTTCTTCTGGAGTCAATTCCAGCTTTTGCGTGGATGCATCCTCTTTCCCAAATTTGGAGGCAGGAATCATTTTCCCACTGGCATATTGTATCTGGGACACGTTGACCTGGTGACACATGCAAACACAAGAGGTCACAACAGGTCAGAAGGTTAAAAGTTTAGTTTCCACAATTGTAATTGATCAGGTTAGAAGTTTAGCATTCAAAAATTTGAAATGGATAATATAGACGTAAGTAAGATTGCTTAAAAAAAATATAATAATCTTTAATAAACTAATAAACATATTTATCCTGTTGAACATACCATATTTCCATCATTCCCAAACAGTATCATCCCACCTTTGTGGACAATAGCTGGTTGCTTTGCATCATCAATAACAACTTTAGTGCCATATGGAGCAAGGCGAGTCCAGAGACGAGAGCCGAAAAATGTGATTTGCTAGGAATATAATTAAATACGTTTTTCTTTTTCAATTTTTAAAGTAAATTAATTTTGTTAATAAATTTGTAAAAAAAAATTTTTTAGTGGTAAATTAAAAGGTGCATAAACTTCCTTTCTAAAAACTGTACACTAATACGCATCTATGAGTTGTATATAGCTTTAGATATGAAAATAAAATTATTTAAAAAATTACTTCTCCATTTATTGTAGTCCATGCACCAGGAACCTTGTCATTTCCTCGAATGAAATTATGAATGCTAGATGCTGGTTGGTCAAAGTTTATCTAAGGGAAGTAATTAGATGCATATTTTATTTTTCTTAGTTTTATTCATTTTTAATAAAGGTTGTAGATAGGTTAAGATTACCATTTTTTACATGATAAATTGTCACGAGTCAATAGGTAATACATTTAATTAAGAAGAGTTGACTAATAAAAACACCAGTAACCATCTTTTGTAAGTTGCTATTTTCAAACTATACAGAACATTGGTTACAGCCAGAGTTTCTTCCAGGCATCTCTTTGGGGGGGGGGGGGGGGGCAACCGAAATTTTTTTACCGCCCCCCCCCCCCCCCCCGAACGAAATGAAATTTATATAATTTATATAGAAAATATATACTTTTAACAGTGTCCGCCCCCCTGAAGAAAGTCTACAGCCCCCCCCCCCTGGAGAAAAAAGTCTGGAAGAAACACTGGTTACAGCAATAAACTGTAGAGGGCACTGGTTACAGAAACTTACTTTAACTTTGTCCTTTTTGATCATGGCATCATAGGTGGCTCCTTCAACTGGCTGGACAATTCTTGGGGCTCGTCCAGTCACAATAAGGTCTACGGCCTCACCCTGGGGACACAAGATTCAAGTTGACATGTGCTTTACAAATTTTATTCTAAGATAAACAAAATGTAAAACAAGTTAACTTCTTAGGAATACACTACTGCTTGTGTCACAATGATATTGATTAAATGTTGTCTCCCTTATGAACTATAAGACTTAAAAGGGGAAATTACTAAAATTATATAAATTTTACATAAATAAACACTCAGCAACTATTTTTTAAACCTCTACTTTAAATTTGTATAATTTTTTTCCTTAATATTACCATGGCTTTGATGCCCTCAGGAAAACAGAATCGGTTATAGAAGGAGTCAACTGTTTCATTGGGATCCACGTATGTTGACTTCTGCAGCAAGATTGGGCCAGTATCCAGGCCATCATCTGCCCAAAACACTGTAAACCCTCCCTTTTTATCACCACACATTAGTGTCCTATGTTTAAAGATAAGTTGTTTACAAAATAAGTAGGTATTAAGATTTAATCGGTTTATCAATCAAAAACATTTTGAAAAAAATTGTAATTCATCAGGAGGTTAAAAGGTTTAGTTTAAAAAAAACTAAAAAAATTGATTATATAAAACAGATTTCATGAACATTTTATGACACTTCTTTCCTTAAATATTATAATAATATAATAAATTTGAATAAACATTTTATCATGTTGGACATACTATATTTCCATCATTCCCACACAGTACCATCACACCTTTGTGTTTTGCTGCTTATTTTTATTTATTTAATTATATTGGCATATAAAAGACGTTATTAATTGGCAATCGAAATAATGTACTTGGGTGTTAGAGTACATTTTTGTGTGTGTTAGAAATAACATTATAATTATATATAAAAAACAGATTAATTTTTAGTAACCTAATAAAATCAAATTTGCGAGGAATATTTCCAAAAATTGTATCAAAACTAGGTTTTCAAAACTTGACAAAAATTCTATTTAAAAGATTGAAATAACAGTCACTGGTTTTATCCAAATTTACCACCAAAAAAGGGAAGTAAACATGAAGACTCACCAATTAATGGCAGATGCACCCCTGTGTACCGGGAGAAGGGATGGGTGATAAATAATTGTTTCATGTTTAGGGAAGAGAATCACTTCATTGGGGATGAACTGGGAGCAGAATGGCAGCACGTTGAGCTCAGCGTTTAAAGACTTGTACTCATCTAACACCTCTGGGATGGCCTAGAAATAGAATGATAGAATGTAAGACATTAAAAAACTAAATAACTTTTGTACTGTTTTATAATGAAAAGCGGGCGGTATAGTTTATAAAGCAAACAATAAGAGGGCAATATATGTTTATTAAAATTCAAATTTCATATTTTAAAAATATTATAATAAAAGTTTAAAGAATTATCAACAAAATCTGAGAACTTAATTTTATTTTTAATGTAAGATGTGTTACAGTACAAGTGCATACAGTTTGTAACTGTTTTCAAGTGGATAAGGCTTTAGAGCAATTTCTATTTAAAAATAGTGTTTTTTTACTTTTATATAAGTTCCAAATATATAAGACATATATAAGACAAATAATTAAATTTACCAACTATTTTTTAAAATGTGGGATGTGGTGATGATAGGGAGGGGGTTTACTTTGTAATGTAGCATATTTAATTAAAATTTAATTAAAAAGTGGAATCAACATATAAAATGGTTTTCAATTAAAATTCAGTGTGCCACCCATACCTTTTTGTTAAGCTGCCACCTTTTGTACTTAAACACCCTGACACCAGCAAGTTCAGCCACAGTTGCTGTACGGGGAAAATTATATTAATTTTAGTTGAGTAATGAACAAAATTATGAACACTATTTAAAGTTATGCATATACTTCAAGGGAGATGATTCACATATTCTAATTAACTCCCTTAATCATATAATCGGAATCAGGGTTATATTGCTTTAATTAGAACCGAGGATTGAATTTAATACCCACCTAACGGATCGGGTTTCCCGTTGACGTCAGGTATGGTGAACACACCAACAATTTCATGACCATTTTTCCTCAGCAGCTTGAAAACCTCGGCCCCGAACACACTCTGACCTATGATGGCGATCCTCATTTTCACGATATCCCTCTGTAATATGAGAGACATATAGTAATAAATATTATTGGGAAATAAAACAAGTCTATAAAAATTTATAATAATAAACTTATTGAGGAACGAAAAAATATAACATTTTAGATATAACATTAGAAGTAAAAAACGTTTGATGCTGTAGAAATAATTTCAATACATTTTGAGACTTGAGATCAACTCCTTTTGTTAGCTTAGATTATTTTTCCAAAAGCCTATTCCATACAGGACAAGACGTAGACGCCGTTACTCACCCGCTCTCCAGGCAAATCGCTACCACCCCCACCAATCTGGTGAGCTTTGGTTCACGACGAATGTTTACAATCGTAGAGCCGGGTTAGTGACGGCTATTAGGGGCAGATAATTTAGTATTAAACGATTTGAAACGAAGGGGAGGTAAAATTTCTGATTGATCTTTTCATTTTCTGTAAACGGCTACTTTCGCTGGGCGAGGGGAGGGGGGGGGGGGAGAGGGAGGGAGGGATGGATGGGGTAGTGTTGAATTCACAAATTATCAATTGCTGATAAGCAGAAAATAAAACAACTAGATGGCGGCGTAAACTACGTCGCGGGTCAGCTCGTATATAATAATAAACTTATTAAGGAACGAAAAATATAAAATTTTAGATATAACATTAGAAGTAAAAAACGTTTGATGTTGCAGAAATCATTTCAATACATTTTGAGATCAATTCCTTTTGTTAGCATAGATTATTTTTTCCAATAGCATATTTCATAATACATAACAATTTCTCGTCTGTGTCTGTGTGTGTTCAGCAGGAGGGGAGGGGGTGGTCGATGTGGGAGGGGGTCGGTCTGTTGATGTGTGATGTGTTGTGTTTAAGCAACAGGACAAACGTAAGATTGATATTATGATTTACTCGGTGCTACTTTAAAATGTGGCCCAAAGAATTAAGACGGAATAAATTGTGTCAGCTCTATCTAACAATCACTGGCCAAATGAATGAGGTCAGTTTAAGTTCACCTGTCGAGGTCACGACACGGGGACTTGGACTTTAAGACGGGGCATGTCTTGAGTAGCCTCAACTTACTAATTACGTTGATTGATCTCTGATTTTAAAAAAATTGGATATAAAAAAAACCCTCAGGACTTAGTGGCAATCCTTTCATCACGCCCGTGTGAAGGGGGGTAAGGGGGTGGAGTTTGAAAAGGTCAACTTTTGTGGACGGGTAGAGACTTGTGATGGGGGTGGAGGGTGTGCTGACATCCAGCTCAATCAATATTTTAAGGGGGGGGTGCAATTTTAAAATTTAACAAATTGCAATTGAAGAGGGGAGATGGTGGTCATATAATGTGAAACGTGATTTTAAAGATACATTGATCTGCGACAATGAACAGTGAAGAAAATGGGAAAAGAGTGTGTGTGTGTATGGGGGGGGGGTCTCAACAAAAAACATAATGTTAATTATAAATGACCCCTGTGTCTAGAACTGTGGAAAAATGTGTATAGTCGCTATCATTTTAGAGGGATACAATCTTGTTTTATACAATATAAGCTACCAATCCAAACGTTGATAGATTTTTGTTGGGTATTTAACACAGATATTAAGCAATGGGAGAACTAGACGACCAGTTTATTGTTTCTACTACTTTAAAGTGTCCTTATAAAAAAAAATAAGGTTATGGTAAGCTCAGGATGTCAAGCTAGATTATTATTAATCCCAGGATTAAGGAAAGGGTTGGAGTTAAGTTTTAAGTTAATGATCTTTATTCTATATTAGTATCATGTTTCTTTCAGACATTTTTCTTCCAGATAGGGGTATGGGTGGAAACTGGTTAAATCATTTAATTTCTATTTAAATTCTATATTTGTTTTATTTTGTCTTGTGGTAGCGATGTGTGGGACAGTGCCCCCGAGCCCCCCCCCCCCCCCCCCGGGGAGATGCCTGAAACACTGTTTAGTATGTAACCTTGACGGAATGGACAACTTCCTCTATACTTCTTCAATAGGACGTTTCTCTTCCACCCCCCCCCCCTTTCCCTACTGTGGTCCCCACTTCCAACAGCCAAGTCAATAGTTGACTTTTATTAAAATTGTCATCAGCATTATAAATTATTTTAATGGATATGTTCATAAGATTTCATTAAATTATCCGTGGCATCCAAATAGATAGTTGTTTTATTAAAAGTTTAATTAGCATTTTAAATTAACTATTTTAATGGATCGTCTGGTCATAAGAATTCTTTCAACTATCCGAGAGGTGTAAATAAATATAATCAACAAGGCGCTAATTAGCCCGTTGAGTGATTACATAAAATATTTAATAACGATCATTGCCTGTTAAAAATCTGCTGACGTGACAAAAAGCTTCAAACCACGACACCTATAGACTTAGAACGTGAGAACAGCTAGATCTAGATCTTGTTAAAATGTCGTAACTTCAATATGGACAGAAAGACAATAAAAACAATAGATTATGTTTTTTTTTTAAATCAGGCTTTTCTAAAAAGCGTAATGCTGGGGACGAGGTTTAGGTTCGGTCTCTGATTTAGGACGGGTTAAGTTAGGTCTCTGATTGGGTGGGGGCAGGTTAAGTTAGGTCTCTGATTGGGTGGGGGCAGGTTAAGTTAGGTCTCTGATTGGGTGGGGGCAGGTTAAGTTAGGTCTCTGATTGGGTGGGGGCAGGTTAAGTTAGGTCTCTGATTGGGTGGGGGCAGGTTAAGTTAGGTCTCTGATTGGGGGCAGGTTAGGTCTCTGATTGGGGGCAGGTTAGGTCTCTGATTGGGGGCAGGTTAGGTCTCTGATTGGGGGCAGGTTAGGTCTCTGATTGGGGGCAGGTTAGGTTAGGTCTCTGATTGGGGGCAGGTTAGGTCTCTGATTGGGGGCAGGTTAGGTCTCTGATTGGGGGCAGGTTAGGTCTCTGATTGGGGGCAGGTTAGGTCTCTGATTGGGGGCAGGTTAAGTTAGGTCTCTGATTGGGGGCAGGTTAGGTCTCTGATTGGGGGCAGGTTAGGTCTCTGATTGGGGGCAGGTTAGGTTAGGTCTCTGATTGGGGGCAGGTTAGGTCTCTGATTGGGGGCAGGTTAGGTCTCTGATTGGGGGCAGGTTAGGTTAGGTCTCTGATTGGGGGCAGGTTAGGTCTCTGATTGGGGGCAGGTTAGGTCTCTGATTGGGGGCAGGTTAGGTTAGGTCTCTGATTGGGGGCAGGTTAGGTCTCTGATTGGGGGCAGGTTAGGTTAGGTCTCTGATTGGGGGCAGGTTAGGTCTCTGATTGGGGGCAGGTTAGGTCTCTGATTGGGGGCAGGTTAGGTCTCTGATTGGGGGCAGGTTAGGTTAGGTCTCTGATTGGGGGCAGGTTAGGTCTCTGATTGGGGGCAGGTTAGGTCTCTGATTGGGGGCAGGTTAGGTCTCTGATTGGGGGCAGGTTAGGTCTCTGATTGGGGGCAGGTTAGGTTAGGTCTCTGATTGGGGGCAGGTTAGGTCTCTGATTGGGGGCAGGTTAGGTCTCTGATTGGGGGCAGGTTAGGTTAGGTCTCTGATTGGGGGCAGGTTAGGTCTCTGATTGGGGGCAGGTTAGGTCTCTAATTTAGGACGGGTTAGGTTAGGTCTCTGATTGGGGGCAGTTTAAGTTAGGTTTGTGATAGCAGAGTTTCTTCCAGGCATCTCTTCGGGGGTGCTTCGCCCCCACCCACCCCCCCCCCCCCCCAACGAAATTGAATTTATATAGAAATATATACTTTTAACAGTGTCCCCCCCCCCCCCGGGTGGAAAATAAGTCTGGAAGAAACACTGTGTGATATGGGAGGCGAGTATGATTTAGGTCTATTGTAAGTCAAAAAAAAAAAAAGACTTCACATTTCTCGTTCATATGAATGAGACGAAAATTATGGTTCTGGGCGTGTAGCTTGAAGTCAACAGAGCAGGCTTTAATTAAACTTGCTACCTATTCACTGTTTTAAATTGTTTTAAATGTTCTTGCATTTGTTCAGTAGAAAACGCATTCATTCATATTTTTTAATCTAGCTCCGTGTTTTTAGCAGAGCGTGGCTGAAACAGAAGTTTATAGTCACGTGTATACAGCTAAAAGTCAGGCAAAAGAAAGAATGTTTGTCAATGCACACATAATAAAAAAAAAAAAAGATAACAGCCGGTGGGAAAAAAAAACAAAAAAACGTTCACAGCCTTGACCCGTCATCGTTTTCTATCAAGTGAACACACCCCCAAACCAACCAATGGGATTTGTTTAAGAAGTGACGTAACACTGAAATACCACATGCAATCCGGCCTAGGTCTAATCTTTGAATGTAAAGTAGGCCTACCGGTTCACTCTTACTTAGCATTTTTATAACGGTCACAGATGTTATAATTTTATCTGCTTATAAAAAGAATAACCAAATATGAAAAAGGGCCTATAGCTAAATTCGTACAGTGTATTTTTTAAAAATTAAACGAAGATGAAATTTAAATAAACAACATATACGTGAAATATTTACAGGGTTTCGCTCGGCATAAATCAGAAAAGCTTTACTGCCCCTTGGCCTGTGGGTGACAAATTAAGCCAACCAGGGCTTAATGAGGTTTAATTAAAACAGCAAAGCTTTCGCCAGCCGGGCCGTTTCCACGTTTAGGTGCAGTGTGTTCAAGGTCAGTTCAAACTTAAAGGGAGATAAACTGTTTTGTTACAATTCGAATAGCCGCCCATATCAGTTGTTGCAGCTCATTTCAACAGCTTTGATTATAGAGTATCTTTTAAAAATTACACACATATTTTTATAGTATTGAAATTGCTTTATGATGCTAAAAGATGGCCACCAAATACGCCAATAATAATGATCAGGGTTTAAGAGAAGGGGTTTGTAATATAGGGCTTAATGTATAGGTGTGGCAGCAGTTCTATATATAACTTGGTTCATGCAAATGGCAATTTACGAAATACAGTAGTAGATGGTGACAAGTCTCTACACGTAGTCAGACCTACCCACCCCAGCCTTTATTAACTAATTGTAGTAGACTGTATGTTCGTGTAGCCTTACCAGTGTTTCTTCCAGACTTTTTTCTCCGGGGGGGGGGGGGGGGCACTTGAAATTTTCGGGGGGGGGGGGGGGACACTAGTAAGAGTGTATATTGTTTACTATATAAATTCCATTTCGTTCGGGGGATGCCTGGAAGAAACTCTGAGCATTGAAACCATCAGCTGATACGGGGAAAAGTAAGCGAAATAAACTGCGTATGTCGTGGTCTATATTATGAAGTGACTGTGTATACTATAGTCACTATATATAATCTCGTGGCGATGTGATGATTAAACAGAAGTGGCGATGCTAGGGAGGTGCTTAGGTAAGGAAGGGGGGGGGGGAAAATCAGCCGAACGGTATTTTTTTTCTTCACTATGGACATATCAAAACGAGATCTCGCTCTTAGTTATAGAAGAGATCTAGATATTAATTATTACCAAGGGTTGCAAAATCAAAAGGCAACATGTGTGTAACTACTTCAATGGGGTAAAATGTTTTTAAAAATAGGCAACGTGTCTTCACATAAATCAGATTTATAGCCTGAATTAGTTAGCCCATATAGTGTCATATATACTCATACCAACTTGGTATTACCAAGGCACATAAAAACATATCACACAATCCATTCTATTGCTAGTACTGCTGCTGCGTTGTATTTATTGAGTAGGAATCTAAATTCGGAAGATTCTATTTAAAAGCAATTATAATGCCTATACAACTACCATGCTATTTATTTATTATGCTTGTGTTGCTGCTTGCATTGCTACTGGACTGACCAATACATTTGTTTACAAACGATACACACCCACTTCTGCAGCCAAGTGTGTGATCTAAACTCCAAACATAAATAATTAAATATACAAAAATAAAATAGCAATAGACTCGCCTGTGCAAACAGCGAAAACTCCGCAGCAACAATGTGAAACGACTTAAACTATGTGCAACAAAAAATGCCTAATATTTTTTTTATCCACGTAAGAAACACGGCAGCAGTGTTGTCTTCAAGCTTGTACTTGCACAATGTGTAGTTTTCAACGCACGTTTCTGACCTCTGTGAAACTAGGTCATATCGCTACGCGGCGGATAGCAGCCGAGTTCGCTACGTGGAATAGGCTGACAAATGCGACTTTTTAATTTAATTTTTTTTAATGCAAACTTTGATCGATCTATCTTTACTAGTCACCAAATAGCACGTAAACACTTTAGGTCTCATATCCTCTATCTACCCGAAGTGATAATCTCTTGGAAAAAAAAAGTAACTTGTTATCGTTTTTTATGGGACAATTTGACCTCTGCAAAACAAAACAAAAAAAATAGGCTAGACGTATTCGGGTTACTGAATCAGTAACAACCTATAAATTGTGACCGGCTTGTTTGTTGAAATAAACTACATTTCATTGAAATAAGAGAGAAAGGTGTACGCTAGTATGCTTTTAGAGGGGAGAGTATGTAGGTACACACAAATTGTTGTTTACTAAAATAAAACTTGTCAACAACGAAATTTTTACTGCCATAAAAGGCTAGAATCTGGTTTGTTTTGGTGCGCTGTACTGATGAAATACAGTAAGTCACTAGATTTACAGTAAGTCACTAGATTTAGTTTAGTAGGACTCCATCAGCATTCTAAATAAGCATGCACATGTCATTTTACATACAGCATTGCACAATGGCATCCTATACACACCTCTCAGACATTTTCAGGCATTTCTTATTGGGGGAGGGGGGGGGGGGAGAACGAAGGACGTCTACCGTCTTCGCCCCCCCCCCACCCCGAAGAGATGCCTGGAAACTCTGAGCAGGATATTCTCTTGACAGAATACATGGGGACAAGGAGGAGCCAATATGTCAGAGTTTCATTCAGGCAACTTTTCGGGGCGGAGCACACCCCCCCCCCGAACCTAATATATATATATATATATATATATATATATATATATATATATATATATATATATATATATATATATATATATATATATATATATATATATACTTTTACCAGTTTCCCCCCCCCCCTCGGAAAGTTTAGTCCGCCCCCCCCCCCCCCACCGAGAATAAAAGTCTCTGATAAACACTGCAATATAATGTGTTCCACTCATGATTCACCGGAATGCATGCATTGACCATGTTTAAATGTGTCTCTTTGCATAATTCAAATAAACCAATATGTAACAACGTATGTATTTCTTTATTGAGTAGAGCATATTATGAATTATAGCTGTGGTGGCAATATTTAAAAAACTATTTTTGCATTAACACTTGAAGCAGGGATGAGGAGCCAACAGTGTTTTTTTTTGGGGGGAGGGGGGGGGGGGTGGCCGACTAAATTTTACCGGAAGCGATCACTTGCAAAAGTATTTATTTTCTATAAAAATTCCATTTCGTTCGACGTTCGGGGGGGGGGGGGGGGTAGACTCCTCCCCCCCTCGAAAAGATGCCTGGAAGAAACCCGGTGGGTGCCAAACGCACTGGAGTAACACCCGACCTAGTGACGCCCAGAGGCGTAGCGACCCTTCCCGGCGCCCGGGGACAAACTTTCAATTTGGCGCCCCTCTCGGGAGCAAATTAAATTTTCAATTTGTACCCCCCCCCCCACCCCCTCAAGCTTTTAATTGCACCCCCCCCCCTCAAACTTTCGATTTGCACCCCCCCCTCAAACTATTTATAATGCAAAAATGCAGCTAAATTGACATTTTACAACCCATTTTGGCGCCCCCTAAGGTCGGCGCCCGGGAACATATGTACCTCCCTGCCCACCCCATCGCTACGCCTCTGGTGACGCCAATGGCTCAGTATTTTTTTCATGGAACAGATTAATTCGTATTCGTCGTAGGGTCTTTACTGTTAAATGTTTTACATCACCCATTTGTACAAGCGTCCACACATGATCATTGGTACATTAAGCACCCATGTAATTGTACGTATACAAGCACCAATTTTAATAATCGACAAAGCGCCCATGTATACCGTTTTATAGTCTACTTAAATTACCAGTTGGGAACGAAATGACAGTTTAAAGCTGCCAACATCAGTGATTTCGTTCCAAGTGTGAGAAATTATTTTAAAAACAATGAGTTATTAGGAGTGAAATTAAAAGCGATTAAGATGTAGGCCTATCCCAGGGGTCGGCAACCTTTTGAAGCGGAAGAGCCAAAAGTTACAATTTTCAAAATTTCCCTGGTTTTGAAGAGCCACTGACATTTTTTTATTTCAAATATTTTATTTTTTTATGAAGATTATTAGTATTTGTGCAAGGAGCTGGAGAGCCGCATCTTGATATCAAAAGAGCCGCATGCGGCTCGCGAGCCGCAGGTTGCCGACCCCTGGCCTATCCTAATCGTATTTTTGGCTTAGGTTTACAAAAATGTTGTGCTTTGGGCTACGGCTAAACTACAATTGTTGATTCACTCAGTCATAAGCTCATGGAGATGGAGATATACCGGCGTCTGAGCACACGCCTAATTAAAATAAATGCGTTGAGTATTTTGATTCATACTTACATGAAATGTAAACACACAGAGAGGAGTCGCCAGTGGAGGGCGGGTGGGGCGGCCACCCCAGGTACAGACCCCAGGGGTGGGGGGGACCGGCCTGACCGCGAATGCATCCCCCCCCCTCCCGGACAAACTTCTGTGTAAGTTAGCCACTGATTAGACGTGATATTGCAGGCCCTACTTGGCAATCAAAGCTCCCCCCCTACCTTTCTTTTGACAGAATTTTTTCTGTTTCCTTGGCGTGAAGGAATGGTATGCTCAGTGTTATACACACCACATGCCTATAGGGATCAAATTATACCAGAATCCAACAACTCCATTACTTGGTTTTGTAAACACCAACATTTTTACTTTCAACCTCTTTTAACAGTAGGCTTATATTTTTGATAACGTCCTTTATAAGCAGTGTTTCTTCCAGACTTTTTTCTCGGGGGGAGGGGGGCTTGATATTTTCGGGGGTGGGGTGGGGGGGTGGGGGCGGTCTACATTTTTGCTATATAAATTTCTATTTCGTTCCTAGGGAGGGGGGGGGGTGAACTTTCTTCGGGGGGGGGGGGGGGCTTTCCTCCCCCCCCCCCCAAGCCCCCCCCCCCCCCCCCCCCCAAAAGATGCCTGGAAGAAACTCTGTTTATAAGCACAGAATAAGCAGATGGGAAATCTGTATCAACTATTTTAAATGGCTGTCACGTGAGACAAGCAAGGAAAGACAACTGTTCATTAACACTATGTTAATGCCCTGATTGTTGGCATATGAAGCCTCACATTAGAGATGACAGCATTTTGACACCCAACTGTGACAAAGGCTTTAAAAATATATCCCAGTAAAAAAGGCTCAAAATTACCAGGCTAGTCACTTCTATAACAATTTAAAATTATTGATCATTTGCTTTCAATTAAACTAAGACGTAAATAATTTTTTTAATTTAATGAAAAATGCATAATAAAATATTTCTGTTTTTTTTTTTACATAACAACATATAATTTTTATATAGTACTGGTACTTTTTAAAAAGTAGGCTAATTTAACATAACATCATTATATCTTTAATAAATTGCAAAGTTTTAGTTCAATTTGTAACACAATTCACACATTAAAATAACATTTTACAAAATTGGCATTTAACATTTTAAAAAATTAGTTAACTGATAATTTTAACAAGTTTTTTTCTTTTTATTTACATTTTAAATAATTTACAGCTATAAGAAGACAGTTGTTTCTGGATAATGTAATGGGCATATAAAAGCAATTTTTAATATTTTAAGAGGGCCTTTTTTAAAACAGTTAAAAATAATTATTTTTTATAAATCATCTGCAATGTTGTAAGAAAATGTAAACCTACCAAGCAAATACAATTTTAAAAAAATGACACTTTATCATTAATGTAATTAAAAAAAACCCACAACTACATTACGAAGTTCCTTTTTACAAATATTTTATTTCATTCTTATATATGTTTAAAAAAAATCTGTCCTATTAAAAAAAATGTTTTGTTTTGTTTATCCAGCTGTGGTTTGTATGGGAGGTAACACAGTTAATGTAATTAAAAAAACCACAACTACATTATGAAGTTCCTTTTTTTACAAATATTTTATTTTATTCTTATATATGATTAAAAAAAAATCTGTCTTGTTAAAAAAAAATGTTTTGTTTTGTTTATCCAGCTGTGTTTTGTATGGGAGGTAACACGGCATGTCTATCCGACCCTGGCCTGGGGGAGAAGGAGTGTGGCTCATACTTGGAGTAATTGAATGAACAGGGGGAGGCGTCATCCCCGGACATGTAGATGGGGTCTTTGGGCTGCATGCTCTCATACAGGGTTGTTATGTCCTCCATCCGGCTCTGCTGCAGCTCTGTGGCCGAATCCAGGTCCGATGACCCTGAGCTGACCGTGTCACCGCAGGAAGAGTCTGGGGACTCTGGCAGGATGGAGTCATCAAACAGGTTTGGGGGCTGTCTCTGATGAGCAGGTTCCGATGTTGCTCGAGATAACTCCCCAAAACCAACTTGTTTTTTCACAGACTGGGGAGCTGTCTTAGGATACCTGTTTAAAATTTTTTACCCAAAAATATTGTTTTGAAAAAAAAAAATTATGGTTATGTTGATTTCTTTGCTTTAAAAATGTTTTAAGACTGAAACATGATAAAAAACATCTAAATAAAAAAAAAAGACAGAAAGTTTGAGTTATTTTCTTATTTTTAGAGAATTTTTTAAAATTTTAAAATTTTTTTCAAAATTTACTTAAAATATTACAAAACTTACATATTTTTAATTTGATCATACAGAGGTGGAACATATCCAGTAAAAACATTCTTGGCGGCACTCTGTCTTCTTTTAAATGATTCTTGTTCCTACAACATAAACATAACAAATATAATCTCCCTTTTTAAAATATAACAATGTATGTTTAAAAAATTATAATTTTTAATATTTATCTGTATTTAAAAGCATTTTGTAAACGATCAACTTTGTTTTGGTGTCAGGAGCAACACTAGTCTTACCACAATACCCTTGTCTTTTATGACTCCTGACTGGTTGGGTTGGCTCCTTTTGTTTGAGCTGTCTGTGTTACTGGGTTTTGACCAAGTTCTACCTCGCATATTGTTGGGAGTAGCCTCCCTTGTAGCAAAGTTGGGATCTACATTTTGTAGGGCATCACTGGTAATTCCAAGATAGTCCATCACAATTTTGCGCAGTTGCTTATAAGCTTCAGTTATGTCATCTTTAAAACAAGAACAAAATGATATGTTCTCTTAAACAATCAATTATTATACCAAAAAATCCCCTTCATAGAAGAAAAGAAGAAAAAAAAGTGTTTACTTTTTTTTTTTTTACATTTTCATAACATCATTTAACTATTTATTTTTCACATTAAACTATAATTAAAAGTTTTTAATTTATTAGGACAAATATTTTTATTGTTTGCACCTTAATGCAGAAAATTAATTATGTAATGACAAATTATTTTTCAGTAACCTTCATAGATAAACCTTATTTAAAAACTGCAGCCATACTATAATTCAACAAATGAAACTTACCACTGCATATCATAATGTCAAAGAACCCTGGATGATCTTGGTTGGTTTTGACATACAATTCACTTTTCTTTAGTGTTCTTTTTATTTGTTCCTCTGTGTAAATGTCTCTTTTACGCAACCTTTTTTCATGTATTTCTGAATTCAGAGGCATAACCAGAACATATCGGGGCTCAAAATAGGTTTTCTTCAAAGTCAGAACTCCCTAGAGGTTTAAAATGATATAATAATATAAAATTCAGTTCATGTTTGGGTTGCTAATAAATAAAAAAGGTTGCAAAACAAAAAGAAGAGCTTTGTATCCTTTAAAAATAACATTTTTGTATACCCTGTTAAAACATTTTCATAAAACAAAATTTAAAAACATCTAAAGAGAATTTGTTAGTCAATTAGGGTAGATACTAATTTTTGTTAATTATTTTTAGCAAAAAAAAAAACATTAACTTTTGGGAATCTGTTTAGTGTCTATAAAAATTGCATAAATAGTGCTAATCGAGTTTGTTCAATGTTTGGGAACTTTGTATATCTGAAAGGTGATTAAAAGCATAAAATATTTACTTCTAGTTCCATGTGTACAATACACGCCAGTCCATCTCTTGCTACATTCTCAATAGATTCCATTTGGAGACCATACCAGTGATCATTGTATTGATATGTCTGTATAAACTGACCCTAGAATATAATTTACAAACATTTGTTATGTATTATCAATTTATTATTGGAGCTATTCTGGCATAATTATCTTTTTTTAATTTAGCCCCTACTTTTTCGTACTTAGTTATTAGCTTCAGATATCAGTTAGGTTAGAGAGTATTTGAATTTTTTGTTGTTAAGTAGTCTCTTACAGTCTAAATGAGAATATGATGGTATATTTAACTTTGTATTTATAAACACTGCTGATACTAAAATAGTTTATATATATATATATTACACAAAAACTTTATATTTAATTACTAAACAATAACTGGAATAACTAGAATGTCTTACTGTCTTTATGTCTGATTCAAACCTATCCAAAGATACAAAGTAATAATCTCTTCCTTGCATTTCATCATATCTTGGCTTTCTTGTTGTATGAGAAACTCTGTAAAAGAAATAAATATAGTGTGTAGTTTCAGAGTTTGACTTTACTATATGATAGGTCTACACAGTGGGTACAATTCTAACTGAAAAGTTTCATTGCCCAATAGCAGGACCTCATAATTTGGTGAGCACATACTCATCATACACAACTTTAACTTTTTTTAAAAGCCTTACTACAAAATGATTACTCATCTGAAGTCTTGCTCTTTTAAACTAACAACGGACAGAAACTATACATGTTTAGTAAGCTTAGTGTAAAATATAAATGATCTATTAAGTTGAATAATAAATATAACTTTTGTGATTATTCTGAAAACATAAAACTACACACAACAAGTATTCACATGTAAAAAAAATAATATATATTTTTATATAATATAAAACTAACTTTTTAAAATATTTTTTTACAGATATGAATCAATAGAAAGTTACTGTCATCTTAAGCTTTTAACAAGAGCTTTAACTAGTATATGTGAACTTACCCATAACCAAAGTAATCACTAAATTCATCAACCAGTTTCATAGCCAGATCTTTCTTCCCTGAGCCTTGAGGACCCACAAGAACAAGCATTGGGTAGGGTGTCTCAATATTGGGTAGTGTACTAAAAACATGATATGCATACATATCATTATTTTAAAAACCACAATTTAAAAGAACTATAAGAAACAATACAATAAAGAAACAGATTGTTGAATCTTTCAGTATATTCAGTTTGAATGAAGGCTGTTTTGATTGTTTGGAACTTTGAGAATTTTATAAATTTAGAGCGGTTGATTAAGGTAAATAGTAATGTTATAAAACAAGGATAGTTTTATTACTAGAATTTAATTTCTCATTAGCGTAATACAACAACTAACAAAGGCATATTCTCACAGTGTGTAATAATTGTGTAATAGAAGATTTATTTGTAAATGATTGAAAGCTACAAGTAGGTAGTATATAAAGTTACCAGTTCCAAACTTTAGCTGGTTGAAGAAAAGAATACACAACATGCATTATGTGATCTCTAGCTGCTACCACTTCCATGGGAGGATCAAATGTGTTCACTGCTGCAACCTTGGTGAGCAAATACATACAATTTAATTCTATATCTAAAACAATATGAAATTTTGATGAAACAAGTCCAATTCTTTGACAATTACGGCAACATGCTTTAGAAAATAATCAACAGTCAGTTTTTTTATAGCCTAATTATGATAGAGTGCGAGTATTCTTGTTCAGCTAATAGTGGCCTACACCCTAAGACAACATTACTTAAATGGCCTACTAATTGAGGCAACGTTACTGTATGGCCTACATCTTGAGACAACATTACATAAATGGCCTACACTGTGAGACAACATTATATTAATGGCTTACACCCTTAGACAAAATTACATTAATGGTACATTCTGAGACATTACTTTAATGGTCTACATCTTGAGACATTACTGTAATGGCCTACATCTTAAGACAACATTACATAAATGACCTACACTTGAGACAACATTACTGTAATAGCCTACATTTTGAGACAACATTACTGTAATGACCTACATCTTGAGATGTTACTGTAAAGGCTTACACCTTGAGACAACATTATATTAATGGCCTACACCCTGAGAGAACATTACATTAATGACACATTCTGAGACATTACTTTAAAACATGAATCTAATTGACCTGATTTAAGTCCAGGAGAGTAGAGTTGCTGGATGCATTTTTAATATTTTAAAAAGGCATTTTTTTTAAATAAAAAAAAATTATTTAATTAATCAAACTATCCCTTCATGTGCAGAGGTAAATGAAACAGGTGAACTCTACATCACCTTCCAACCAACTATGTGTTTACATTAAAGCAGATGTGCTCTACTTTCTTTAAATGTCTCTTTTGTTATTTTCATTATATTCTTAAATAGCATTGTGAAAGGTTCTAAGATAGCGGTCCTCACCTTTTCCTCATCCTTCACATGTTTTCGATCAAGCAGAGTCAGTTTATTCAGTCTAAAAATAATGGAAAGCCTGTAGTCTGGCAGCTCTTGGATGGGGTTTCGCAGCAGATTTAGGTCACACAAACCCTTCGCTTGCTTGATGTGATTTATCTCCACAATGTCAATCACCTGAAAATTTAACTTCACTTTAAGCTATCTTTTAGATAAATATTTATAGCTATCATAAATAAATATTTGTTACAAACAACTCTCTAACAGTTTTAAAAGCAATGCTATTTTCTTTTATATTTTTTACTAAGTGTCTCATACAGCATAGAACTGAATGATTCAGTACCTCATTATCCTCTAAGTTGACAATCTCCAGATTTTTAATCTTGTCCAGTCCTGATAAGCTTCTAATGCAGTTACCTGACAAGTTTAGTTCCTAAATAAGAGAGACATTAAATTGGCTTTTTAGTTGTTTTTTTATTACACTAATGAAAGAATTGCTGTTGGTAGAATGCTATACTATTAGCCAGAAAGCCTTGAGATTGAATCTTCAAGTCAGTAGAACATACTTGAGTCCACCCAGCTCTGATGGGTACATATCTCACATAAGGAAAAGTAAAGGCACCTGGGCATAGTGCTGACCACACTATCCCTTCAAATGTTGAGGTCACAGAAACAGGTGAACTCTACTTCACTAGTCCCATGGACTGTCAGGTTTGAAAAGAGAACTTAACTTTTTTATAATGTTGTTGGATTCATATTCTATAACAAAGTCTATTTAATGAAAAATTTTGAACTTTAAAACGGGTGAAATTTCATGTTAGCTGATAGCATTGTCATCCACAACACAAAAAAAAAAGCTTCTAAGATTAATAACTGTGAACTAAAAATTTTAAAGAACAATCAAAATAGATAATTAGGACAGTATATAAAATGCACATGAAAAGAACAAACTCACTCTGAGCTGCTTCATTGATTCCAGCTTCTCAATGACTCTGATACCATTGTAACTCTGTAAGTTAAAAAATTAAGCAATTTATTCATCATTAAAAAACAAAAAACCCATACATCAAATAGTCAATTTTTTTGTAAAATACTATTTCAATTATAAAACAATAGTGTTAAAGATCATTAAAATGCAGATCTATTTAAATTAACTAATAACTACAATCAAATAAGCAATTGTGTTAATAGTTAATAGTATTAATATATGAATTAGTTTTTAGTTAAAGAAATCTTTTTCCATGTAAGCTCAATTAAATAAAAATCAGGTTGTTACCAGATTTAGGTACTGTATTGGAAGATCATCGAGGCACTGAATTTTCAAAATTTTGTTATGGGAAAGGCTGAGATGCTTCAGCCGTTTACAATGCTGCAAACCATTAATGGAAGTGATTTCGTTGTCTTTAAAGGGTTAAGGAAAATTACAATTTGAAATTGACTATCTTTCAAAAATTTGAAATAAAACTTTTCTAAAACAAAGGATACTGTCAAGACAGAGTTTCCTCAAACTGTGGTGACTGGAGAGATTATTTATCTCTTTTATTTTATTCCATGACAGGTTGACTTCTTGTAGATTAAATGGAGGTTCAAAGTCCAGAACTTTTTCAATTTTGTTGTGAGATGCATCAAGAATTAGAAGGTTTTTCAGTTTTCCCAAAGGAGATAAATCTACAAAACAAACAAAACTCAGTTAATCGTTTTAATATTAAATTAAAAAATGTAATAACTAATAAATAATTTTACTTTAAAAATGGTAACTCAAGCTCACGTCTAATGCACACATACATTTTATTCTTAATTACTAATAAGAAAGCTTTAACCTGTAATATCATTGTATGGAATTTCAACTTTTTGCAGGTGGATATACTCTCCTAACAAGGAAATGTCAGTTAATGAAAATCCCTATTGAAAGATACAATAATGAATATAAAATGAGGTGGAAACATTTGATAAACAAAGCAATTCTACTCATGTAAATGATTTAATGAATTTCTTCTTATTTTCTGAATAGTTAAATTTAAAAGGACGTAATTTGTATTTTTACAGTAACCATCTATCAGCTTTCTACCACAACCCAACCCTTGAAAAAAGAGGAAGGAACTTTTTTTATAAGATCTATTGAAGTATACTTATACAATAACACACTGACTTTTGTATAAGGCCAGGAGTAAACAACGGAATTTTAACTAACTAAAACAACTAAATAGTTTAATAATAATTCATTAAATACTTTTATTGATGTTAGAATTTTGTTCTTACTGGTATAGTCACATTTAAAAATACTTGGCTATCACCATTTGCTGAGCGTCCAACATTAGAAAGTCCGCGGGCTATTGTTTCCTCATCTAAAATGCCATCAGGTGATAACTGGAAAATAATATTACATAATATTAATGTAGGCATACAAATGGTAATGTTTATTAAAGATTTTTAAAAATAAGTTAAAATATCCTATAGTTGATAGGGTTTTAGGAGATATTTGACCATGGCTCATATCCTAATTTATAAAAGCCCAATGTGCGCACATCTCTCTCTCTCTCTCTCTCTTTCTCTGTCCGCAAAAAATTTTCGCCGGACATCACGTCAGAATCGGCAGCGATATATCGAGAACTTTTTACGGACTTTTGTTGAAAATAATATGTTAGATGTTTTAAATGTATAACCACAATTTTACTTAAAGAAGAAAAATAAAAATTAAAGGCGTATTCGAATGTAGTGAAACAGTATTATTTATGCAACCGGAAAAGCATTAATATATGTGAAAAAGAACGCATAAAACTGTGACGTCACTATTGCTTATACATTAACTAATGACGTCATCTGCCGTGTTTAGAATGAAAAGAAATGAACTATTTCATTCAAATTTGATTTAGATCTACGTACACTATGAAATGTATACAATACAATTTTTCCGGCCTAAACTCATAAAATTTATTTTATGTATTTGGATTCTAGATCTAGAGATTCTAGATCTAGACTAAATCTAAATCTAAATCTACGCAATAACTAGATCTAGACGTAGACGCTAAGATCTAGATTTAGACTCTAACTTCTCTAAAATCAATTCCAAAAATAAATTTCTATATTAGGACTAAACTATTTCAAGACTTATTTATTTTATACAAAATCTTTGTTTGGAACTGGCTAATTTGGGATAAAAAATTAATTTGAAAGAATAGGCATATTCGCGTAAGTTAAGATTTTAAAATACGTGTTTCATTCTCCGTATTTTATAAGGTGCCTAAATAGTGGAGATGTTAGTGTACATTAAACCACGCAGGTGGTGCGGGTTCGAGACACAGCAAGTCAACTTGGTTAATGTATTCTTTTTTATTATGCTCGGGCTAAACTTAAAAAAAAAAATTCTTTTAGGAATCTAGATCTAGATCTAGATTGTCGGGTGTCCGATAGGGCACTTCCCGGCGCCGCAGGCGCTTCAAATTTGGCATGATCTTGCCTTGATGCGACAGAACACGGGGGCCGGTTGGCCGAAAAGTCTACGATGTGGGGGTCAAAACTGACCTCGACTGACCGGTACCTTATATAAGCTATAAATCGAAAAAAAATGTCCACGGAGGAACCTCTTCATAACTCTTGAGGTCGTAGACCGACCTTCGGGCGAATTAATTAAGCATTCAAATTCTCAATGTTTTCGAAAGCCTAAGCGAAGCTGGGCAGCATGCCTAGTTTATTATAAGGCATGTACAAACAAGCTTGTTACATACTTGTTATGCTTTAGGCAGAAACAAAAAGAATTGAGTTTAAAATTAGAATTAGGGCTAAACATCAGATTAGTGCAAAGTTGAGTTGAAGCTGGGGTTGGGTTTGAATTTAGTATTGTTATAGGCTGTCAAAAATCAAACAACAGTTGCTTGCATTTTTTCGGTAAGAAATCATTTGTACTATATATAGCAAATGAAGACAGGGATGTTTTGAACCAAGTTCTTCATCAGAACACAACAGTGTGGTTAAAGCTTAGACAAAAAAGACAAACAGTAACACAATTTTGGACTTAGTTCGACAATGAAAACAAGTTTTGTCTAAATGTCAGGATATCAAAATGAGAAGATGGATGTTAAAGGACAACCAGACAACATATAGTAGTGGGGGTTGGGGGAATGGTGTATGGGTAGGCGCAGTTGCCTACCCGTTTAAGCCATCTGGTGCTTGCTAGCCAAATCTTAGTATGAACCATGTTACCATGTTCATGTAGTTTTAAATTGTAAAAAAATTGATAGATATATAATATGTATATGTATATATATAATATGTATATATATATATATATATATATATATATATACATATACATATACATATACATATACATATACATATACATATACATATACATATACATATACATATACATATACATATACATATACATATACATATACATATACATATACATATACATATACATATACATATACATATACATATACATATACATATACATATACATATACATATACATATACATACATACATATATATATATATATATATATATATATATATATATATATATATATATATATATATATATATATATATATATATATATATATATATATATACACACACACTAGTTTGTACCCATGCTCAGCTATGGTAACGAAATTGGCCTGCAAAGACAAAGTGGCTATACAGCCTATATTTACATGTATGTCTTTTGGGTGTCTGCCTTTTGGCTGTCGGCCTAATAGTATATTGGCCTTATCTCCTGTCGGCCTTTTTTATGTCAGTCTTTTGTCCAAGTCAGCCTTTTGTCATGTCGGCCTTTTGTCCTGTCAGCCTTGTGGATGTTGACCTTTTGTCAATCACCCCTATTCGACTCAAGTTAATTATTAAAATAATAAAATCAATTGTGTTGTTATACTCGTAGGATTCATTTTTTTATCGAGAGTCTGTTGGATGTAAAATTAGCTCAGGGGCACGGGAATTTTAGGGTCAGGAATTAAGGGTTTAAAGGGTTAAAACCAGGTACATTAGTAAAACTTTGAAACATTTTTGTAACTTTCAAAACATAAATCTTCCTAAAAATGTGAAATAATAAAACGATAGATTACCATATATGTATGTATATATATATATATATATATATATATATATATATATATATATATATATATATATATATATATATGTACATATATAAATATGTCGGTTATAGCGTAGGTTATTATTCTGCATTGGTACAGCAGTAAAAAACAGTAAAACCATGACAGTCTCTCAAGACCATGTCGTTCTGGAAACCACTGGAAATACGGTAAACTAGGCCATTCGGTTCATGGCTTCTGGGTTTGTTTGTTTATATTATCTCACAGTGCAAGCTCTCAAAGCGATTTACTAAGATGGCGGAGCGGTTTCATTTTCATTAAGGGGTAAAGGGATTAAACCAATGATTTTGAAGTTACCGTCAATTTTAGTAATCGGAATTACCCATTTCTAATTAAGTCTGTTAATCAAGAATAGTAAGGTGTACTTTAGTGAAAGTAGCTCTTTTTATTCTTGTGTTAACGTGAACTTAAAATCAAATAACTTATAAACTACGCGATGAATGTTAACCAGCTGGTGATGAAGCAACTGTTCAGAGTCTTAGCTTTATATACATGACAACATCTGGAAATAATTCTCAGGCCCGTAAGCCAGAAATATAACCCCCCTTATAATGCCATTTTTAATAATCTTTTTGCCAAAAACAAAGCGCTGGAAAATGTGTGCGGCAACAAAACCCAATAATTTGGCTAAATGTATTAGTCATGTCGGGTCATATCTAAAAATAGAATGCATTGGGCTTTCCTCATTGATGATCGTTTTTAGCATATTTTAAAGCAAAATATGAATTATTAGTTAAGATTGCAGTTTTTTTAACATGGTATTTTAAAAAGCATGGCATGTTAATTATGTACAAATATTGTCATAAAACACAAAAATATAAAGTTCGATTTTTTTTACTACCACTATCTGCCACACCTAGCTAAGCCTATACAATACTTTAAAAAGTTTTTTTTTTACATTGTTTATTTATTGTGTTAAATTTTAGCTATCTAAATTCATTTCTAAGATATTTTAATATGCTTCTATAAAGTTTTGTTGAAAATCTTTAAAAATAATCGAGAAATCCACCCATTAAATCAGGTCACAGTTCTAGTACTTTTTTCTTCATTAGCTCATAATAGGCTGAACCTGACTTTGGAATTATTTTTCAGTTATAATGACTTTGCACATAATGTTAATATATGCTAAATTGACTTAGTTTGCTAGTGTACTAGCTATTTTTAAAAAAAAAATATTTTTTCATCAAAATGCCTACTGTAAGTGTATTTTATTTGGTGCCATTAATAAATAATGTTTAAAAATTTGCATAGATTGATTTTAGTTGCATTTTAAATACTGTTTTGCTAATTATTTTGTATCACTAGATCTAAATATTTTAAAGATGGACTAATTGTTACTGTTACTGTAGTGTTACTAAACATTTTTCTAGTCCTTCTTATGATTTTAGGCTTTAGTAAATCTAATCGCCTTATTTTACAAGGCCTAGATCTAAGATCTAGAATCTATTTGTCGCAAGACTTCTGCAAGTTTTTTTCTGTTTCTTAAAAAACATGAATTAGTACACATGACTTTATTATTAATATTTAGATCTACTAATTAGACTAATTGTTGTAAATTTTCTGTAAATTAAACTTAAAATTAAGTTAAAACTGTAATTTAATGCACTTGACTTTATTTAAGCCTAGGCCTATATATTTCAATGTTGAAATGAACTATGGTTTCCGACGATATATCATGAGATTACCTGTATATGTATATACTAATAATTACTCATTAATATTAATTTAATAAACTAATAAATAAACTACTAACTAATTGAACTAATAAATTATAAAACTAAAACTTAACTAAACTAATAACCCTCAATATTCATGAAAGACTTTCCCTGTTTTAATTCAAGTATGAGACAACCACAGTAATAGATCTGTAGTAAGAACCTAAAAAACGTTAACAAAGGTTCAAAAACTTTCAAAAACCCAAAATTTCAAAACCTCAGCATCCTCTTCCTCATGCTCTTCTTGATTATTTTTCTCTAGCAATTCATCATCTTCTGCGAGTATAGCTGTATTTGCATTTTCGTTATCTTGAGCTGATTCTGTGATTTCAGGATTTATTTCATCATCTAAATTTAAAATATCAGTTTCTAATTCAAGCGGCATATCCATTTTATAAGATGTTTTTTATTCGATTATCCGCCATTAATAATCAACACTATGGCAACTGGCTGTACCGGAACAAAGATTAGGCTCGCAACAAAAAGCGTGAGATGTAAAAAGCAAATAAAAAAAAAGCCTATGGATTTATGATATAGACTGTCCTTAGATCATACAGCATTATCAGTTAGATACAAATATTTTTAGGCATAATAATATCAATATCGTTGATTTTATTAAGGATATATATATATATATATATATATATATATATATATATATATATATATATATATATATATATATATATAAAACTAGGTCTATTCTAGTCTTTGCATAACTTGTAGGATTAAATCAAATGAATTTGAAAGTTTCGCGTATTTTATGCATTCTATTTTTTTTTTAACTTTCAAATCTGAAAAAGAAATGCGATTTATATCACAATATTAATAATCATTGTAGATAGGCGTCTTTGATTTGCCAATTAGTCAATTTATTTTAATACAATAGTTCATTTTGTATAATAGTAGCCTATACTTTTATGAATAATTTAAAGCAAATGCTCTAACTAGTGCTTTTGTTTGAATTTTAACTTTTTTAAGGCCCTTATCCCGAACTTTCGTTGGAGTAAATGACGTGACATAAAAACAAATTAAAGTTTTAGTTTTTAAATACTTTTATTTTAACACGATCTATGATTAATTGTTCTGATTATAGATCTAGATCTATATGCTTTTGGTATTTTTAAATTTAGCCTACACTGGTGTCTTGTTATCCAAATTTTAAAAATATATCAATCGAAATTTTTAACTACTTCTCCCTAATATTAGCAATCCTTGCCAAGTTGTAAACTAATTCAGTTTTAAATTATTTTATTTTATTTGTGTTTCTAACCACCATACTACATTATGTTCATATATTTTAAAACAGATGTGAGAATTTGCATTATTAAAAAATGTTTAATTTTGAAGTTTTTATTTTATTTTGAACAGAAGTTTTTATTTTGTGATTTGGCTCAAAAGTGGCAAACAATCTGTCATACTAATACACATGTTATTGAAACATGGCTGCTTTCCTCATTCGACCTTTCGTTGATGCAGGTTCTATTAAAATGTCATCTAAATCTACGCTATTTTACAAATATGCCAAGCAGTTGGTCGGAACCCAAAAACATTGCTTTTCTATTTACGCTAGGCTTCTGGCAGCACCGCCTGCAGCAGCGGGTAAGAAAGTTTTCGTACGAGATAAACCACACATGAACATTGGGACGATAGGTCACGTCGATCATGGAAAAACAACTCTGACGGCGGCGATTACGAAAGTTCTTGCTGATGAAAATAAGGCCGATTTTAAAGCGTATGCCGACATCGACAATGCACCTGAAGAAAGGAAAAGAGGTATCACTATTAATGCTGCAACTGTTGAATATTCGACAAACACACGCCACTATGGGCATGTTGATTGTCCAGGTCATGCAGATTACATAAAAAATATGATAACTGGTACAACTCAAATGGATGGTGCAATTCTGGTTGTTGCGGCCACAGATGGAACAATGCCCCAAACTAGAGAGCATCTTTTACTTTCCAAACAAATTGGAATAAAACGGTTGGTCGTATTCATCAACAAAGCAGATGCTGCAGACAAAGAGATGCAAGAATTGGTTGAGATGGAGATCAGGGAACTTCTAACGGAGTTTGGCTATGATGGAGATGGAACACCAGTTATTATTGGATCAGCTCTTAAAGCTCTTGATGGATCAGACAAAGCCATTGGAGAGGAGAAAGTTAAAGAACTTTTAAATGCAGTTGATGAATATATCGAAACACCAGTTAGAGATCTGGACAAACCATTTTTCATGCCAATTGATGGCTGTTTTAGTATCCCAGGTAGAGGCACAGTTGTTTCTGGAAGAATAGAACGAGGTGTAATTAAAAAAGGAGACGAATGTGAAATAATGGGCTTTGACAAAAAGTGGAAGGCTAATGTTACTGGTATTGAAATGTTTAAGAAAAGTTTGGACCGAGGTGAGGCAGGTGATCAGTTAGGTGCACTAATTCGTGGTGTTAAGAGAGAAGAAATGAAGCGAGGCCTTTGCATGGGTAAACCAGGAAGTATGTCTATGAACAATCGTTTTGAAGCCCAAATATATTTACTTTCTAAGGTTTGTATTCTAAATTTAAACAGTTATTAAAATCGTATTCTTTAGGCCTACAGATTCTAACTTTAGGATGGGCCTTAATTTTTTTTATCACTTGCTAGCCTGCATATTTGGATTTTGTGTTATAACTTGTGCAGATATTGTCATGTATCAGTCTGTATAAATATATAGGCCTACCTCACAACTATCTGAATATATTCTTTACATTTTAAACTCCTACTTTTCAGCCTATTTTCACTCAGTCGACGTGGTCGAGTCGGTAAAGCTCATGGTTGATAAACCGAAAAGTCTCGAGTTCGAAGCCTCGGGCAGATGAGGCTCGTTAGCTGGGGACAGCCACTCTTCTAGGAGAGACAACTCCAAAATTAAACAACTGCTGCCTTGTAGTTTTTTCTTGGTTGGACAAAGGCTATGGAAGCAAATCCAAAAAGAAAAGCAGGCTGAAATTGGAGTCAATGGCCTCAATGGCGCATAACCAGTTGACACGTAACGCTTAATTGTGTTGGAGGCGTGGTCGAGTCGGCAAAAAGCTCATGGTTGATAAATTCGAACAAAGTCTTGAGTTCAAACCCACTGGCAGATAAATCTCTATCACCTCCAACACTAATAATTAGGAACGAAGAAGAAGAAGCCTATTTCTCAGGTTTTGGGAAATGTGCGAAAAGGCGGCAGTAAATGCCAGAAAAAAATGTGAGACCTACCAGCAAAATTGCAAATTGATTTGCAAGAGATTTTGTTTTGTTTTATGGTTGTTTTTTTTCCATATTTTTATTTTCTATCCTAGAATTGGTTTTCAACTAAACAAGTAGATCAGTGATGAGTGTTTTATTTTCTTGATCTAGATTTTTTTAAAAATTTTCAATTCTAATCGATGTTACTTGTATGATCATCCATTCATGTTTTCTTGTTAGCGGGAGAAAAATTCTGACATGGTTGAGGGGTCATTGTGAGCTCACTTTGTTTTAGATATCTGTAGGTGTACGTCTTAGCAACAAGATTACTATTTGAGATTGCCGATGACATCGCTTTTATTTTTCCCCAAGTATTATGAAATACAGGGTCACTGAGTTTATTAAGAGGCTAAAGTATACATAGTAGAATTTTACTTTTATTTTCCCTAAAGTCATTTTATGGCCACAGCATTTTGTTCTCGGTATTAACCAAGACCCTATTTCTCACTGCCCTCAAACCTACAAAAAGATATGCTACATATAGATTGTCTATTTCCAGTCAGAAATGCTACTAATAAATTTAGAAAGAGTGCACTGTAAAATTAAATATGCTAGTCTAGTACTTTCACATTTTGTGTGCATTTTGTGAGAAAAATATTACAAACAGAAGAAATGCAAACAAATCATTTAGGCTTGTCTAATTAGTTGTCACTCTTTCTGTATATATTTTTTTACAATGATTATCCTTTTTGAATTTATTACTTGCCTCACATGATCACACTTTTGGTGAGGTCTTTGCAGTGCCGGAGACATGAGCATCGTAATGTTCAGACTGCATTATTTCTGCCAGCACAAGTGACAAACTGGTAGGCCAAAAAAAATTGGCAGCAAAGTCTGTTCGGTAGATACATGCTGAAGAAATTTGCCGATGAAAAATACAGTAGAAAATGGACTTCCAATCCAATATTTTTCAGAAATCACCTTGAATTTTCAAAGGTTCATACTGTCTGTTTTTTAATTTTAAGCCCAAATACTGTGAGGCGTTCTGGTAGAAATAACTACCATAACATTTTAATTATTGAGTGTTAGATCTAGTAAAACAGATAGTGAAGATTGTTCTTAGTCCCGACCATACAGAAGGGCTCATTGGACTGAAAGATTATTGTATTCCAGTCACTATTAAATCTCATTTTAAGACAAATTTGATTAAAATTAATGAAAAAAAACAGAATGTTATTATTATAATGCAAAATTATTTCTAAATGACGAGTAGTGGTTAATTTTAACATTATCAACATTAATTGTTTAGTTGCAATTAAGTTTGTTTTAATATTAATATATCAATATCTGAATCTTGAATATCATCAATGTATTTTGTTTTTCATATATTACTTTTTATACCCCTTCTTTGTTTGGATTTATTACAAAAATTCTGACACTTGAGTAACTAAACATTGATATATTAATATTGTGTTAATTTCATTTTAAAATATTTACACTACCATTCTGTTAACTTTTAATTTTTTTTTGTACAGGATGAAGGTGGAAAAAACAAACCAATTACATCATTCTCTCAAGTTATAACATTCTGTAACACCTGGTCTCAGCCGGCACTACTAGAGATTGTTGGTAAAGATTTATTAATGCCTGGGGAAGATGGCAAAATCATATTTAACATGTTCAAAAAAATGGTTCTCGAGAAAAACCAGCGTTTCACCCTCAGAGATGGCAGTGTTACTTTAGGTTACGGTGTCATTAGTGATGTGTTACCAGATAGAGATCCTGAAGAATTGGACAACACACGCAGGGCACTCAAGAAGCAGAAGCAGGCTGCACATGAGAAGGAGGAATAAATTTGTTCACTGTCTGTCTGTCTACCACATGTTGACTGAAAGAGTTTGAGTAGTGACATTTAGCCTTGTTTTATGTGAGTTGGGAATGAGTTTCTTGGTGCATAAATAGGTTGGCATTCTTTTTTTTTTTTTCTAGATTAACAAAGGGATAAGTCCATAGTGTTTTTAACTGTAGTATTAAATAACAATCTCTGTAGTTTGACGTTCTTTACACAAGTTAAGTATTCCTACTTAGCCAGATTGTTGTTATAGTAAAGGCTCATGTAGTAAAGATGCTTTATATTGGAGTCATGATCTAAGTATGGGTAGGCAAAGTCTTATCATTGTCATTCTTAAAATTCTTCTTGCATTGTTACAAAAGTTGATTATAAAAAATATGTGTAGATTGAACAAAATATATGAAGTCAATTGTTCTATTTTCTCTACACATTTCATCTAATTTATTGAACCACTTATGAAATGACAATGAGTTTTGTAATTTGTTAAAATATAAGGCATATTTTCATGTGATTTTTGCCAACCAGACTGAACTGTTGCTAACTATTTTGTTTTGAATGCACTTGACTGTATGACATCATTCATTTCTTTTATAAAATTTTTGTCATTAAAATTATTGTACTTACCAGTAGTATTTTTTATTTTTATATTACAATTTGTTTGCTTTTAATTTTAATTGTACAGTGTTGGTTGGATGTTGTTGGGTAAATGCTGAGAAAGTTTATCAGTGTTGGCTCTTGACTTGGTCCTTCCTCAATCTTGGTGGAATACCATTATATTTGCATGTATATGTTGTGTCTGTGTGCATATGACTACAAATGTAAAACAAAAGGAAACATTAAAGGATATAGGCCTATACAGAATGGCAACTGACAATGAGAGCAAATACCATAGAACAATTCTTATTGCTCAGACAGAGATAAAGAAGCTTTTAGCAGATTTTGGGCTGCAAATACTTTGAGAAAAAAAATTGTCTTTCTACTAAAATGTAGGTTGGTGCTAGTAGGCTAAGAAAATGATAGATATATTTTACATAATTCTTGTGTATGAAGACTTCAACTTACTGATAATGATACAACAGAATCTTGGCTAGGGTAGTACTCAACAACTAGTAGTAGTATGGGACGGAGTGACCTAGCGGTAGAGAGCTGGACTGCTAACTGTAAGTCTCGAGTTCGAATCCTGGTTCAAGTCAATAGACCGTCCTTTAGTCCACCCAACTCTGATGGGTACCTAACTCACGTTAGGGAAAGTAAAGGCGGCTGGGCATAGTGCTGCCCACACTATCTCTTCATATGCCGAGGTCACAGAAACAAGTGAAATTTACTTCACTTGGCCCATAGACCGTCAGATTTGAAAGGGAAAGTTTTTACTAGTAGTAGTAGTAGTACACTCTAGTCCATAAATGACGTCACACTCGTAGGGGGGGTAGGGGTCCATAGGGGGGGTGTAGGCTGATGTGTGACATCATTTTATGGGGAGGGGGGTGTCTGGCTTTTTTTTTTGTGACGATGTGTGACTGGGGGGAAGTAAAAATCGTCAAAAAAGCGTGACGTCTATTATGGAAGACTCCACAGCGTTTCTTCCAGACTTTTTTCTCGGGGGGGGGGGGGGGCGGACACTGTTAAAAGTATATATTTTCTATATAAATTATATAAATTTTGTTCGAAGAGATGCCTGGAAGAAACTCTGTGGATGACCCCCCCCCCCCAAACTCTAATACGTTTACTATGGAAAGATAACTCACTATTTTATTTCATCGTTTATTTTATTTGGTTATTTCCCTTTCCCCATTTATAGCTGTGAATCTAGCTATTTGAAGAAGAGTAGAAACACTTTATAACTTTTTTTTTTACATGCCTTCTTTAAGCTAACGAACAGTATGTGCTGGCTGCATTGTAATCTAAATATTATAATTACAAGTTTGTAAAAAAAATTAGTAACTATTAAAAGAGTTTATTTTTTCTCCATCCTACTTGAATTTGAATAGAATACACCAACAGATTATGTACCGCACGGTGTGGTGGTGGTTTATCATTTTGTTTGTACGAGGCCTATTATAAACGCATCTTTTGATTACCAGTGTTCCGATTAATAGATTAACTTATTTAACTTACACTTAGTATTTCTTAAACACCTTATGGGTAATTTTATAATTTTTTCTAACGAAGATGCAACAAGCAACTTTGAAGTACACTAATTTGATTCCCATATGTGTAGTAGCCTACACACATATCGTCGGTGAGGGGCGGGTGGTTGCTAAAAATATTAATGAGTGGGGCCAGTCAATGCCAATGGTATTTACCGTAATATCAGTATGGAGGTAGAGGGTGGGTACATGTGTCCGATTTTGTGTTAAATAACGAATATGTGCACAGAGGCGTAGCGACGGGGGTGGGGGTGGGGGGTAAATATGTCCCCGGGCGTCAAAATAAGCTAATTTTAGCTGCTATTTTGAATTATAAATAAAAAAATATATGGGGGGGGGGGGGGCAGTGGCGTAGCGAGGTCGGGTGTCACCCGGTGCGGCACTTAATGGTGTCACCCCCTCAGAGGCGTAGCGACTCTTCCCGGGGCCAAACTTTCAATTTTCGGGGGCAAATTGAAAGCTTGGCCCCGGGAGGGGTTGCTACGCCTCTGTATGTGCACCTTCTCTTTACTCTCGCCTGAGTCACGTGACAGATAATGTATGTGTTATCATATGTGTGTTATATTTTGTTACCAGCAGCATGACAGCCGCCTTTAACTTAGGGTAATGTGCTGTAAGATAGTAGTTTTCGTTAGCACAATCATACCTGGGTTTACCCTTGCAGACTAGGGGGGTTCTGTTTCCTAGACAACCAATCTTTTAGTTGTAAGGCCCGCGTAGATATTTTGACTTAATGGTAGCCTACATAACGACGTTACGCCCAATCGAACAGATTTTTTAGCCACCCCACCCCCTAACTATCTTAACCACCATCCGCCTCATCACCAGAGTTTCTTCCAGGCATATTCTCGAAGAAAGTCTACACCCCTTCCTCGAAAGAAATGGAATTTATATAGAACATATATACCCTTCCCCCATCCCCCCCCCCCGAAAAATTTAATCCACCCCCCTCCCCCGGAAAATATCAAGTACCCCCCCCCCCTTCGGAGAAAAAAGTCTGAAAGAAACACTGCTCATCACACATTGTTACAGAAGATCTGCCCTCTCACATACATGTGACATCATTTATGAAAGTCGTCGTACCCTCCATATTCACTATACTTTTACTACTGCTGTTCTAGCAGTAGGCCTATTCACTGGTAGACTTATTTTGTGCACCCCCTTCCTCACCGTCCCCAACTAAACAGTATTTGTGTTGTTAAGCGAAACTTTTGTTAAATGGTTTTCAGTCACCACCGTTTCTTCCGTATTCAAATAGGCCGTCAGTGCAGATATAAAATAGATCTATATCTTTCTGGGTAAAATTCCTTACTCATGAATAGTCTGGCATATAGAGTTACACAGGCGGAATACTTGAAATAAAAAAAATGTAATGAAACATAAAATTAATTAGTTTTTTTTACGTCTAAAAAACGGAGAATTATAATGTCAACTGTGGTACCCCCAAAGACCCCCATCCCAATCAGATTTTCTTCCAGGCATCTCTGGGGGGGGGGGGGGGGGGGGCGAAAATATCAAAAGCCCCCCCCCCCCCCCCCGGAGAAAAAAGTCTGGAAGTAACACTGCCCCCCATACGGATTAAAGGCAGAGGCGTAGCGAGGGGGAGGGGGGCGGGGAGTGCTGACCACACCGGGTGACACCAATTAGGGGGGTGACACCAAGGCAAAAAAAAGCAAAATATATACAGAAAAATAATTTCACTTAATTAAATGATTAAATAGAGGGATTAATTAGAGTGAATTAAATAGTCTTTTAAGAGCAAAGTGGACAAATCCCGACACGATTGGGGGGGGGGGGGGAGGAAGGGGGTGACACCATCAGGTGCCGCACCGAGGTGACACCCGATCTCGCTACGCCACTGGTTAAAGGAAGATGATTCGAATTATAAAATAACATTAAAGCTTAACCGATATAAAGTTTACATCAACACTGAACGCATGGATACCGAAGTCCTTCACGATATTCAGTAGCCATACCGCGAATCACACGGCTACGCTTCAGCTAATTTATATCATGTTTCAAAATGATTTTTCACACTAAAAACCTATAACTTATAGCTCTTTGTATAATCAGTGTCACCAAAGCATTGTCAAGTCTTAGCGGCAACAGAAAAGCTTTTAATAATAATCGGCGGTTCTCAAAATGCAAAGCTTGTGACTTTGGTCAGTAAGTTATGGATTCAATAATAATTAATAATGCGAAAAAGATTGTTGGTTTACACGTCTTATTAAAGCTGGTGTAATTTAGACACAAATAGTTAGCAAAGCATTGTAAAACATAAAAATCTAACGGAAATACATGTTTGTTAATTATAAAAAACTATCAGAGTATTTACAAAAATCTGAATTTTTGTGACAATCTTTATACAATATTTCATCAAACAGTACTTAATAATATATCGCAGGTGTTTCAGTAGCGTAGCGAGGTCGGGTGTCACCCGGTGCGGCACTTAATGATGTCACCCCCCCCCCCCCCCCAGGGGCGTAGCGAGGTCGGGTGTCACCCGGTGCGGCACTTAATGATGTCACCCCCCCCCCCCCAGGGGCGTAGCGACCTTTCCCGGGGACAAACTTTCAACTTTCAATTTGCACCCCCCTCCTCAAACTTTCGATTTGCACCCCCTCACACTTTCGATTTGCACCCCCACCCCCTCAAACTTTCGATTTGCACCTCTTAAAAGACTATTTAACACTCGAATTAATCACTTAGTTAAGTGGAATTATCATTTTTCTCTATATATTTTGCTAATTTTTGCCTTGGTGTCACCCCCCTAAATGGTGTCACCCGGTGCGATCCGCACCCCGTCCCCTCCCTCGCTACGCCAGTGGGTTTTGTCTATATTATGACGTCACACACCGATTAGAATTATTGCGTTCAGGCATTTGTGACGGTGCTATGAAAAAAGCTGTTTGTGGGGCAGCTACCCCTCCTTTCTCAAAATAATGCCTTAAAGAAACTCTGTTTTCAGAAAGTTGGCCTATTCGGAGAAAAATTCAGCAACACAACTTTTGACAAAATCACAGTGTTACAGCCTAATACTTTTAGAACCTTTAAACATAAGTTGTGTTTATGTGTAATACATCATCATAATATTTCTGGTTAAAATATCCAGAAACGATACACTTCCCCTCACACCTTGTCGGTCCACACCGATCAAGCCATTTTGATAAAGGTGTTAATGTACCCTGTACTAAAAATAAAAAATAAAAAACCGGTGTCGATTTATTCTCTACGGTCTAGTGATTTGCCAATCCCAGATCTCTTTTTGCGAACGTAACCTTTTTTTTTTTGTAACCGTCATTCATGGACGCCATATTTTCCTTTTGTAACACCAGCGCCGCGTTGGATAATTTTATGCAATACCGAATCAAATAAAAACCGTTCAAGGATTAGGAGAACGTGACTTGCTACATAGATTCCACACGGTGGGTTCCCCGAAATAAATATGGGAAATTTTTAACTGCTATTTTTTTCTTTTTA